GCCGGGGTCGTCGTCGGGAAACGAAGTGAGGTCGAGGTGGTCCTGAGCGCTGCTCTGTGCGCCTGCGCCGATCGCAAAGAGCGTGGGGCATGTGCACGAACTGGGTTTTTTCACCAGCGCTCCGGACGAGCAGAACGATCGTGCTGGCCTGTGATTGTGGTCGCTGCGTCGCGCTGGATAGTGAAGAGCCGCCGTGTTGTTAGAGGGCTCCTGGGAAGCGAGTGGGAAGATGGTTTAGTTAGTCTTGGAGTGGTCCGCAGCCGTGGTGGCAGCGCGAGAGCCGACCCTAATCAGAGAAGCGGACTCTTGCACTTTCTGTTGGCCTGTTCGCTGTCTAGCCTGCCAGTTCCCACCCTTTGCATTGAGCACACTGGTCACGCGGTCAATGCATTACGCTCATCGAGCGGAGCGGCGGAGGATATCATGATGAGTTCCACTGTCGAAGGCAACCTCAAGTTGTGCTGCGATCCAACCCTCTCCTTCCCTAAGGACGTGGGATGCCACAACGTACAATCTTTTTGCGCGGGCGACCCCGCGAAGAGCGCATTTCGCCGCGCCATTTGACAACTCTGATTCGCCCGTCGTCTCTATGCTTTGCGTCTACGGCCACACTACACCTGCCTTATTCCTCAACTCTCCGAGACGGCCAATCTGGAAGTTGATCGCACATCTTTTTCTGCTTGCTCCTGAGTTTGGTGGGTCTCACAGCTCGAAGGCGGGTCACAACATACTACTGGTTGTCTCTCTCGAAATACAGAATCTCACCATGGCAGTCGTGCATATTGGCGCGCAGAAGACAGAATTTCATGTTTACTACGCTGGCCAGACGTGGGATTTTACTCTGGATCTACCGGCCATAACAACCGCGTAGCCGCGTCCATATGCCACACGGACTTCTGGCTTCAGCAGGTCAGGTTTATCTTTCAGGATCCTAGGGTGATGTTCTGGTCCTTGACAATGGACGACGGTCGCGTGTACACAAGTTTAAGCCAGGCGAAGAGAAGTCGAGTGTTTGGAACTGATTTCGCGAGAAGCCAGCATAATCGTTTCCCATGCCTGAAATATGGGCGGAAAGGGCAGGGCCGCACAATATGGTACAACTGCCTCATTCTACACGTGTGCATGGCCCATATCTGTCCACCACCTCGTGCTTTTAGTTGTAGCAAAATAGATTCCTCATGAGCCATCGAGGATAGCGACTCCCCCTAACATATTGAACCGCTGAAACGCCAATCGAAAGACCGAGGTATAGAAAGGGTATCTGGCGGGCGGCTACATTACTGAACAACAGCCGTTCGATTGTTGAGGAGCGTAGGGGTCTTCACGTTTGTCGATGGTGCCCCAGCGACTAGGCACCATAAAGTCCTGCAGAATGTTAGTATGTCGCAAGCAGCAAGCTCAGTGCGTGTGTACCTTGGGCTCTTTGTCCGTGAAGGCAATCAGACTACAGTAAGTGTCAGCATGTGTCAATGAACCGGCCCCAAGCGGTGGACACGTACTCCATGGCAGCTTCCGATACAGGTATCCGCCTACGATTCAGATCTTCTTGTAATCTCTGATTGAGCTCCGTGAGACGCCGCAGCTTGAGTTCGGCCATGGACTGCTTCTTCGTCTTGCCGTTGTCATTCGTGCGGATTTCGTAAGGGGCGGACATTATGATATGCTGGAAGCGGCGGTGCAGGGCACGGCCAGTGATGCACAGGAGGGGCGCTCGTCGGAGTCAATGGTGCTCGAAGTGGGCGGGAGCGGCGACAGCGATAGCTCAATCGTGCGGCGCGATGCGCGTTATGTAGGCTGTGCCCGGCGTGCGTGGGTCGCGTGTGCTCAATGCGCCGGGGCGGCGAGCGCGCAGCGGTCAGAGGACGGTGAGGTGCTCGGAATAGGTGGTGCAGGCTGATTCCGACAGCTTGCGACAGCTGCGCGCAATCAGCGTGTATTCTCGTCGATGAAGTCTGGTTTGTGCAACCTGCAAAGCTTCTCGTGCTTTTCCTAGCTGCTGCTGCTGCTGCGGGTGCTGCTGCGCTTGGGGCCGGGCCTGGGTTGCGGTCGCGACGGATGGGCGGTAAAGAGCGACGGGAGGCGACACGTGGAAGGCAGCGAGCACAGCAGCGGGCGGTGCGGACGTCGCTGGTCGCGGAGCACGAGCAGCGGTGTTGGGTAGGAATAGTGGGCGACGACAGCACGGCGGCGCGGCTGTCTGCGGTTTCAGCGCTCTTCACCCTCCCCTGCAGGTTATTAGAATGAGCTCGGTGCCGCAGGCCACAAACTCTTGGGATAATGAGACGCGGCGCTCGCATGTGTCACGCAGCGTCCGTGGCGGGCGACGACGACGAGACGTTGGTTGCCTGCAGACAGCGATATATGTTGGTCTTAGATACACACAGGCCGTCTCCGCTGCCACTGCCATGGGGGTCGCAGCTCTGGCAGCAGCACTGCGCAGCTAAATCGACCACACCGTGCACTAGAAGTCGCTAGCGAGCCGAGACAAACCACCACCACTTCTGGCCCACGCCTGCGTCGACACCGTGATCGCGAGGCAGACGCTCAGCGAGCAAGGTGCCCATGACTCTATACTGTACGCTGGCCGTCTGTCTGGGATACCGTGCCGCTGGCACTCCGCAGACGGGACATGCTTGCACGCATGGCAAGTGGGTGTTTGTGTGGTGACCAGTGACCACTGATCGTTCGCGGTCATAGCGTCGCCGATCACGTGCGCGCGTGCCAAGAGCCGCACCTCGTTCTGAAAGCAGAAACTTGATTGCATCAGCGTCCTACGATCGACCACGTCTTCGCACCGCGACGAAAGCTGTCACCGCACACAGCTGCCATCTGATCACAGTGCCTGTGATCGGATATCCCACCGAGGTCGCCCACCATGCCGCCTCCGCCGCACACGAGGCCGGAGAACGTCCTCAAGCGCGCCCAGGAACTCATCGGCGTCGACCAGAAGCAGGCCGCCCTGTCCATCCTCCACGAACATGTCACCTCGAAGCGGACTCGAAACAGCACCATTGCCGCGCTGGAGCCGGTAATGCTCCTGTTTGTTGAGCTGTGTGTCGAGCTGCGAAAAGGCAAGTCGGCCAAGGATGGTCTGTACAACTACAAGAACACCAGCCAGAATACAAATGTTGCCACCATTGAGCTCGTGTTCCGACACTTTATCGAGCTGGCCGAGAAGAGAGTGACGGAAGCCCAAGCGAAGGCGGATGAGGTCTCAGCGCAGGGCGCCGCGTCTGGCGATGGCGAGGCGGCGGACAGCACGTTGGCCAATGTCACCGACTTGGAGGCCATGGAAACCCCAGAGTCCATCCTGCTGTCTACTGTATCGGGCGAGCATTCCAAGGACCGCACCGATCGTGCTATAGTGACCCCATGGTTGAAGTTCCTTTGGGAGACTTACCGCACAGTCCTGGACATCTTCAAGAACAATGCTCGACTTGAAGTCATGTACCAGACCACCGCTCACCAGGCCTTTCAATTCTGTCAAAAGTACACGAGGAAGACAGAGTTCCGTCGTCTCTGTGAACTTCTTCGCAACCATCTGCAGAACGCGGCCAAGTATTCCCAGCAGGTGCATGCTATCAACCTGAGCGATCCAGAAACACTTCAGCGTCATCTCGATACTCGATTCATGCAGCTCAACGTTGCGGTAGAACTTGAACTGTGGCAGGAGGCATTCAAGAGCGTGGAAGACATCCACACTCTCCTCAGCTTGTCCAAGCGACAGCCAAAGAACTCCATGATGGCGAACTATTACGAGAAGCTCACTCGCATTTTCCTGGTCAGCGAGAACTACCTCTTCCACGCTGCATCATGGAGCCGCTATTACAACCTGCTCAACTTGTCTGCGAGGCAAGTGGCAGCTGGCGCGGCAAAGAAGGACAATCCCAGCAACATTTCTGACACCGACCTTTCAAAGGCTGCTTCTTTCGTGCTGCTTTCTGCGCTCTCCATCCCTGTCATCAGCACTTCACGCTCTCGAGGTGCGCTGATCGATGTCGACGCCGCTCGAAACACGAAGAATGTCCGCTTGACCAATCTTCTGGGTATGAACTCGCCGCCCTCGCGTGCGATTCTGTTCAAGGATGCATTGAACAAGGACATTTTGCAACGCGCCCGCCCCGAGATCCGAGATCTGTACAACATCTTGGAGACTGACTTTCACCCTAAGTCAATTTGCGAGAAAGTTTCCCCAATTCTGTCGCAGATCGGCGCCGATGAAGAGATGAAGCGATACGTCCTCCCGCTACAGCAGGTCATCCTCACACGCCTCTTCCAGCAGCTTTCTCAAGTCTATACCGATGTCAAACTGGAAGATGTCCTGGCTCTTGCACGCTTCCCAGATCCATTCCAAGTATCTGCTGCTACCATCGAGAAGTTCATCATGAACGGCTGCAAGAAGGGGGATCTTTCCATCCGAATCGATCACTCCACCGGCATCCTGACCTTCGACTCTGATGTGTTCTCGTCGGCGAAGGCCATGCATCCGGGCTCTGGTGCTGGATCTGCTGAAGCCGATGCAAGCTCCGTACAGCGATTGCAGAGCACGCCTGCAGAGATTGTTCGATCGCAACTGTCCCGACTCTCCAAGGCACTCTATATTGCCGCACAGTACGTGGACCCCTCGTTCAACGAGGACCGCCAAAAGTCGCGTCTCGCAGCGCTCAAGCGAGCTGAAGCGGGCGCTGAAAAAGAGCACGCCGATCTCCTTGCGCGCCGAGAGATCATTCAAAAGAAGAAGGAGACTGCCGCGAACGTGCAACTTGCGAGACAGAGAGAGGAGGAGCAGAAGCGTAGAGCTCGCCAGCAGGAACTGCAGGCTGCCGAGACCGAGCGTCTAGCACAAGAGACGAGAGAGCGTGAAGAGCGCCGACTTCAGGCCGAGCGGAAGAAGGTGCAGCGTGAGGAGGCTGAGAAGCAACTTCAGGAACTGAAGAAGGGGGTGAAGGGCGTGGACATTTCTGAACTCGATATCGACAACCTCGATACTGGTAAGATTCGCATGCTCAAGTTGCAGGCACTGGAACGGGAGAAGAACGAGATCGGCGACAAAGTGCGCATCGCTGGCAAGCGGATCGACCACTTGGAGCGCGCATACAGGAAAGAAGAGATCAAGCACCTTGCTGACGACTACGCCAAGCAACGCGAGCACGATTATAAGGCCTGGGAAGACAGCAAGAATGAAACCTTGGAAGCGGCGCAGGAGAAGCACAAGCAGGAAGTGGCACTGAAGCATCGTTTGAGCAGACTCGTTGGACCATACGAGGGATTCAAGCGCACCATCACCGAACAACGTCATGCAGACTTTGAGAAGCGCCGTAAGGCCGCAGAACGCGAGCTCAATGCTGCCATGGACAAGAGACGACGTGAGGTTCGTGAGGCCAGAGCCAACGCGAAACGCCGAGCAGAGGAAGAGGAGCGCGCTCGACGTGAGGAGGAGGAACGTGCACGCATCGAAGAAGAAGAAGCTGCTCGTGCCGCTGAAGAAAAGAGAATCAAAGACGCCGAGGCCAAGGCGGACGCAGAGAGACGTCGCCAGGAGCGTGCAGAGGCGGCCAAGAAGCAAATGGAGCGTGAGGAGGAAGCAGAGCGTAGACGCCTTGAGCGCAAGCAAGGTGGTGCTGCTGCCGGTGCTGGCGCTGCTTCTAGGACATTCGAGCGCCGTGCTGAGCCTGGCCCTGAGCCGATCGCGTCCTCAGGCCCTCCCCGCCTGGCGCTTGCTGGCAACAAGCCTTCATGGCGCGAGCGTGAGGCGATGAAGACCGCACAAGGAGGCGCGCCTGCGAGCGAGACTGCTGCCCCGGCCGAAGAGCGTGCGCCTGCGGAGGCGACTCAGCCAAAGCGGAGTGGCTACATTCCGCCCGCCCTACGTGGCAAAGCTCCCGGCTCCGATTCTGCATCACCCGCCGCTGAACCCAAGACTGAGCGATGGCAACCGCGACCTCGCCCTGCGGAGGGTGAGCGCGAGCCTGCGGGCGACCGGTGGGCTTCTCGACGGCAGGGAGAGACTCCGAGAGGAGACACCCCTCCCGCTCCAGCAGGTGGTGCGTACAAGCCGCCGTCTCAACGCACTGGTGGCGCATACAGGCCTCCAGGAGCACGTTAATGTGGAAATGAGCGAGACATGAAGAGACATGGAAAGTACTTCTTATGAAATTTGTGCGAGCAAATCGAAAGTGCTTGAAGGCGTTTTGCATGGAAGTCACATCGGCGCGTCGTTCAATCAAGTAGGCAGCTAGCACAGCGCTTCAAATGCTGAGATCAGCTCTGAATCATCACAACACGAGTAGATTGGTCCCGTGCAAGACAATGATGATGACGTTTGGAACATGGTAGCATAACGGTAGTCCTAACGTGTCACATGCGCATGACCTGGTCACGGACGCGCGAAGCCGATCCGATCGGTGGGGCGCACCTCTCCTCTCACCCCGCGTGCTGCCGTTGACTACGACGGCGATAACAACAACACTGACCTCCACCACTACGACCCTCACGATTGCTCTCACACGAATCGAGAGCGCAACACGATCATAGAACGCAGTGCAGCCTCGGCCAGGGCAACACACGCACAGCAGACCGAACACGGATCGCATCCAACAAAGAAACAGCGCTCGCACCGCCGAAGCCTCTCCACCACGATCGTCACCTTCGCTATTGCTGCATCCGCTCCTGTCGCGCCCACACGTTCCACCCGGTCCCTGTCTGACAGCGGAGAATCGTGGCTGTACTGCACGCAATAGCTATCGCGATCGAGGAGAGTGCCTGGCGTAGACCGCATCGTCGCCCTACCCACGCATCCTTGCACGCCGGCTCCTGAAGCCTCACCAGCTGCACGACCGACCGCTCGTCTCGGCGGACCTAAACGAGGCGTCGTCAGGCTGGATGCCACCCGCCGAAGACCTTGTGCCCGACCTCGATAACAACCTCGACGAGCCTCGCCCACTACCCGCTACAACGACTGCAGCGGAGTCCTCTGCTCTAGACACCGAGGAGGCGTGGGGGCTCAGTGCATCGCCCCCCAAAGCCAGCAAGAGGAAGAAGAAGGGCAAGAAAAATGCCAAAACTCAGCCCATCGGTGACGAGGGCGATGACTCAGCTCCATATCCCAAGTCGATAACACCATCCCCGCCCACCGACGGCGTCAGAATTCAGCCAGCGGAGGCGAGGCCACCAGAGCCGCCACCTCTGGTTGATGTGGAGGACGACTTCAGCGGGCCAGAAGGAACGGTGGCGTCCGTGACGCGAGAACCAGCTGCGAAGCCTGCGCCTGAGACGTCTCCTGCTGTTCGGTCGCCTCACCCAGTGCCTGCCAGACCAGCCTCTATACCACTTCACTCGAACCGACCAACACCGCCTCAACATGTCAGAGATCGTGCAGAGAGCCAGGTGGGCTTCAATACAGTGGGTGGTCCGGCTTCGACACAGTCGCGCCGCGAGTCATTCATGGCACAACCAGCTCAGCGACCTCGCTTTGTCGAAGCACCACAGCCTCATTTGCCACAAGCTCACTTCTTTGGCCTCCCAGATCTTGGTCTAGGGCTCGGTCAAAAGCAAGAGTCTGGACGAGTGGCGGGAGCAGATGGTTATTGTTGTCGCTTGGACTCATTTGCTGACGCCGGCAATGACACATGTGCGCAAAAGTCAAAGGAGGCGCTGCTGGTAGGGAGTGATGGAGCACTTGAAGTCTTTAGAATCCTACCGAATAAACTGGAGCTCGTTGGTCGCATTGAAGGCTTGCGAGGTGCTGTTATTGGCGCCAAAATTCTGCCTCATGTCGAGCGGTCTGATCCGATCATCGACCTCCGTCCACTTGTTGCCGTTGTGATTCACGGACCAATGCTCGATGTTCGCCACGACTCTGGCAGCGAAGGGTATCCGGATCACGATGCGGCATTGCGGCTTCAGACGACGGTTGATGTATATTCGTTGGAGTTGCAGCGGCATCTTGCTACACTTCATGCTAGTGCACCAGTCGCCGCGGGGCAACCTGGAATTGGCCCAGGCATACCCCTTCCTCGATCTGCTGGGGATTTCGAAGTCGACGCACAAGGGCCGTACATAACAGTATCCTCTGGCAAGAGTGGCGAGGTTCTAGTCTTCACATCGTTAATGACCGAGCTGATACAGCAGCCCGAATTTCGCTGCATAGGGAAATTCTGGACGGCAATCCAGAAACCGGTATCTGGTCGGCCTAGTCCTAGTAATGAAAGTGGCATTAGCGTCACAGAGTCGCCGGAAGAGCCCCAAAAAGCTATCTACAGCTTGAGCTCTCGTTGGCTCACGATTGTACCTCCAGCGCTGTCATCGACAATCTCGCTGGGCGGTTCCCCCTTAATAAGTGATGCGAATTCAAGTCCACCTGGCCTGTCAACACATGCGGCTCCTCCGCCCCCGCCAATCACCTGCGAGGTGGTAAGTACCGATGTTGAGGGCGCATGGGGGCGACTTGGGCGCCAAGCAGCACAGGGTCTGGTCAAGGTCTCGCAGAAGGGCTTCGAGATGGGCCGCCAGGGCTGGAAGGAGCTGACCCAGCCCTCACCTCCAGGCTTACGTGCCAATCACGATCGCGGACCTCAACAAGAAGAATTTCCACCCACAAAAGCGCCAACGAACGATCTCCGCACAGCGAAAGAGCCAGCGCTCGTAAGTCTCATCGATTTGGATAACCTTTTGGTCTGGGAAACACAAAAACCAAAGTACATGCCCGTGCCTATGTCAACGTTCGCGCTACTGGACGGCTGTAATTTTGTCTCACTTTCGTCCACTGGCACTCGATTATTGACCTCTAGTCGCAAAGGCGAGGTTTCCATGATATGGGATTTGGGCCAGGTTGCGCATGGGTCGCCGAGACGTCTCGACAGCTCGGGCGAGGAAGCCAGCACCTGTCCAAGCATTACCCAACTGCTCCGGGTCGCTCGTAACAGCCCGTCGACTCTGTTGAGCTGTGCCTGGAGTAGAGACGATGATGCCGTAGCCATGCTTACCAATCATGGTACTATACATCTTCATGAAGTGCCTTCGCGGCCGCAAAGCCGCAAGCGCAAGCGAACCGCACCGACTACGACCAACGCCGCCGAGAAAGCTGATGCCACGGTCAGCTTGTCTACCGGGCTGTCGCCTCCCAGCTCGGGATTTTTGGGAAGCATCAAGTCATGGTCACAGACTGTCAGCACACAGGTTAACTCCATACGAACGACCAGTCCAGCATCGGCTTTTGGACTTCCCACCACATTCGCCGGCTTCCGCGAAGCTACTGCAGCAGCTGGCAATGCTGGATCTCGAGCCGTGGCACGAGGCCTAAGCCAAGGCCTGACTGCTGCTAAAGGCGCTAGCAGTGATTACTGGCATGCTGATGACAACAAGATCAGGCACACGAAGGCGTTGCAGACGCCACTCTCTGCGAAATCAGTCAAATGGATCAAACGCAACAGTGCAACTTCTGTGGCGATTGTCTGCGGTGGCACCTTACACGTCCATCCTGTGCAGCGCGTCACCCGACGAAAGGGATCCCAAGTGGTCACAAATCTCAAACACGAGAGACATGCCCACAAAGCCTTTCCACTTCCCCCGATAGCGTCCAAGCCAGAATATTCGGCTGCGAAAGGTGCAGACTTGTCATGCACTGGGCAAGGGCCGCACGGCTTCTGGAGTCTGCGACAGGCAAGCTCTCCAGTTGCAAGCGACCGTCGCGCTAGCACTATGACAGCGCCTCGTGGTTGGGCCTCGACCAACGATGTGGAGACGAATGCGCCCTATTGCCCATTCCACGTTGGATCCCAGATCGGAATCTACGCATTCGATGAGATGGAATATAGCCAATACAGGGCATGCCCCGCATTCACTAGCTTTCAGCAAAGAGGACATGGCAACGACCAGCGACCTTGGACTTTTGGCGATGCTATGCCTCCTAGCACCAAGATAAATGAACAGATGCCTGACGAGTTCCGCGAAAGCTCGTACAGCACTGGACTCGCTGACGATGATCTGGAAGAAGAAGTGGCTAGTCAGATGGAGAGCAAGCTGACCATTCAGCCGCCGAGTGGCAAGAGACAAGACGAGCATATACGGGTTTCCACACGCCGCAAAGGGCGAAGCCAGGGGATCGCAGACGATGGACATGAAGGTCTCGACCTCATGGAAGACGACCAGGGCCACGTTGGAGTTTGATTGTGGAATATTGGAAACTTGGCTGCGTGGCGGAGTGCACCTGGATCCTGGCACAGTTCGAAGCCCTTCTACCTGAGCGGAGAGGGCATCGGCCAGGAACGTGATAAGGCTGCTATCACCTCCCAGTACAATTTTGTGCATAACTCAAACCACCAGCACTTTTACGGAGGACGAAGGCTCGCATATCGTATGAGATGAGCATGAAACTGTAGTAGTCTTGGTCAAGAGAGCCACGTGAGTTTGGCAAGTCAAGGCTCCGCTGTTCATGATATTAGGGCCTGTTGTGCTCTGCATACCTTTCTTTGTGCATCGTGGGAGAACCTGCGAGCTTTTATGGAGAGCGTTCCTTCCCTCTTCTATCCCTCGATGCGTCGCGTCTCCTTCGCCTCCGTGAATCCGCGTCAGAAAGAGAATCGTCCCTCGTAGAGCGACGCAGTGCGTCACGATCCGCATGACGCCGCGAACGAGAGTGAGTGCTGGACTCATCTCTGGGCGGCGACTCATGTCGAGATCTGTTTGAATCACGCTGGCGATCTCGTCGAGAACGGTGTTCGTGTCTGCGCCTTTCTCTATCGCCATCATCTGACTCGTCGCCTCGCCGTGATGACCGATGGTGGTGATGTCTGCTGTGTTTGCGGTGTCGGTCGTGGCCTCGATTTTCTCCCTTCTGTTTTACGACAGCCTTGAGAGCCTCGGCTACCTCCTCTCGTTTTGCCTGGACAAGGTACTCTTTCATGGGGTCATCATCGTCGTGTTCTCTTAGTAGCTTCTGCAATTCGATTTCCTCTTTGATCAGAGGCCGCTCCTCTTCACTCTCGCTCTCCTCAGTCTTCCTCCGCTTCCGTCGGTCGTCGCCCTCTCTGTCGGTATCATCTGCATCCTCGACATCTTCGTCGCCTATGCCTTCCACCTCGCCTTCCTTCTTCTTGTATCTCGTGTGGTCGACGCTGATCACACGGCCCATTACACCAGCGCCGCTCAAGTTGTCGACAGCAAGATCGCAGCTCCGTTGGTCCTCGTATTTGAGAAAGCAGAAGCCGCGCGATTTTCCAGTGTCCTTGTCGCGCACCAAGTTGATGTGCACCGGGTTCCCATATTGGCTGAAGATGGTGAGGATGTCGCCCTCGGAGAGCTCAAATGGCAGGCCTCCGATGTACAGGTAGGCTGTGTCGCGGTAGTCGGTGTGCCAGGACGCGTTAGGCGGGATACACTTGTCGAGCTCGGTTTGATTAAGGCGCTCAATCTGGCGAATGGACTGCATGGCGGCAGCGTGGTGCTCGTTTGTTCAGATGCTGTGGATGCATGCGATAGCCACAATTATTTCCACTTGCATGGGCGCGCACGTGGCAATGACGTCGCAGTCGAAGCTGGAGTGGGCACATCACATGCAAGTAAACTCACTCTGCGCACTCCATGTCCGCTCTGTACTCTTCCACTGCCCAGCATGGCCCCGGCCCTCACAATTTCCATTCCCACGGCGACGACAGCGACCCCGGTGGACGCCAAGCCCTTTACGCAGTACCATGTCTCGCTGCAGCTGCCTCTCCGCCGCCACGATATCCGCAAGCGATACAACGACTTCGCCGCGCTGCATGAAGCTCTCGTGTCCGAGGCAGGCAAGCCTCCTCCGGCACCTTTGCCCGCCAAATCATGGCTACGACGCACAGTAAACAATGCGAGTTTGACCGAGGAGCGACGTGCCGGCCTGGAGAAGTACCTGCAAGCCATCATCGCCTCAGACGATGCTCGATGGCGGAGTAGCGCTGCCTGGCGCGGATTCCTCAATCTGCCCAGCAGCATCACAACTAACACATCGGGTTCGAAGCGTCCGGGCAGTGCTCATGGAGGAGCAGCCACAGACCCGAGTCAATGGCTGGACTTGCATCGTGACCTCAAGAGCCAAATCCAGACCGCTCGTTCACAGCTGAAACAGCGCGAATCTGCCTCGACGGCCCAGTCACAACATACACTCTCCGCTGAGGCCAAGGCAAGCCTGGTGCGTGCGGCCACTTTTATCGCGCAGCTGGAAGATGGTCTCAAAGCGATAGCCGCAGCAAGCAAAGGCGACGATGCTGGCTGGGGAGGCGCCAAACGTCTCGGTGATGGCGAACTGCGTCGCAGAAAAGATCTGATTGGTACTGCAAGAAAAGAAGTCGAGGGACTGGAAGGTGTTCTGAAGAGCATGGCCACACAATCTGCGAAAGTCTCTGGGAGCAGTGGTGGAATGAACGCCTCGGCCGCAGCCACGTCAGAGCAAAAGTCAGAATTGTGGAAAGGCACCTCGGCGGCGAAACCGAGTGGGCGCGTATTGGGAGGTCCAATGAAAGAAACGGAACGAACGAGGGAATTGGACAACTCGGGTGTGTTGCAACTGCAAAAGCAAATCATGCAAGAACAGGATGAAGATGTCATGAGCTTGGGTAAGACAGTGGCGAAGCTGAAAGACATGGGCATTCTGATCAATGAGGAGTTGGCCATCCAAAATGAGATGCTGGGGGTCATTGAGCAAGATGTGGAGAGAGTGCAAGGCAAGATTGATGTTGGAAGAGCTCGGATCAAGAAAATCAGTTGATCTCCAGGAGTTGATGTGCAGCTCTCAAGTCGGAGAAATTGGCGAGGTTTTGTGAAATCTGCTGCGTTCAAGCGAGCATGCTGGGCGCTCTATTGTATTGTACAATTTGTATCTCTATTTGACTCGTCCTGAGAGCACTTTCCAAACTCCCGCTAATACAACAAATTTTCAAGTCAATTATGTTACAATCTCAGTCTGCCGCCTTCTGGCCGTCCCCCAAACCATTTGGAAAGTGCTGACGGGCCTGATTCATCGTCTTGCATCCATCTCGGCGTCTTGAATGCACTCCCAATCTTCTGCATCAACTCTGGCGTCTCCACTGTCGTAAAGGTGTTCTGAATTCGCTCTCCTAGATCTTGATAAAAATGTCTGGCACTATCATCTTCCTCCTGTTGATTTGTGATGGCATTGAACTGCCTGTTCGCCTCGCGAATGCCTTCGGTTCGGGAAGGCGGGTGGTCACTGAATGTGTCTCTGGAAGGCACTGCCACCTGAGCAGGGGTCGCAGATATACTATCCTCGCCACTCTGGACGGCGTTTCGTTCCAGATCCAAGGATGCGCCTCGAGTGGAGAGTCCAAGCATGCTGTCGGTGCCACGAGATTGCAGTTCACGATCGATCAAGGCTTTTCCTTCCCGCCAGCCTCCTGTGCCGAATCCAGATGGATTATTCTCGCTCTCATCTTCGAGGAACCCGAAGCCAAGTAAGCTCTTCATTCTTCCATAGACGTTGAACAGAGTAGCAAAGACCGGAATCAGCACAAAGCAGGGAAAAAAGCGACTAAATCCAGAACCGAGCGGCGTAAGATCGAGAAGCTTTCCCAGGAACTGGAAAAACATTGTTTCTTCGAATACGCTCGGAGAAAGCATAGTCACGAAGTTGTACGATAGTGGGACGGTGAGCTTCGCAATCTGCATCGAGTACCAAGCAGCGCTTTCTCCGTACGTTTGCCGCTTGACGAGAGCGCGGTTGCCCCACACCTTCACGTCCTGGATTGCGTAGAGCGCAGCAGTATTCATATACAGCAGCCATGCGGCCGCGACGATCTGGCCGCCGATATTGACTTTTCCACCGCTCGTCGAGGTTGGGTGATGGACCACGGTCAAGCCGATAACCGATAGTCGTGGCGCGAAAGCCCTAATCACTTCGCTCCATACAATGAGTACTGCAGCGAGCGCAAGAGCACAGGAGACTGCAACACGTATCGCTGGTACGAGGTTCATGTGCAAATGGTACCTCAGGGTTGGCGTAAGAATATCGACGTTCCGTCCGATTCCGCTACGTCCAAATTGTAGCTTTTTCGAAGTGGCTGAGTCCAAAATGGTCTGGGTTTCGTAGGCTCGCTGTACAAGGCGATCCCATTCATCCACAAAGCGAGCCTTCCTATGCCGGGCGCGCTTCAGTTTGCGGGTCAAATCGGCGAGATACCGATCAGTGATAACAGCTGGAATGTTGGGGGTGGAGGTGTGTTGAGTCGGCAATGCATTTGGGCGTGTATCAGATACACTGCTCAGCTCATCGATCCACTCCTTCTGCTCCGCGCTCATTCCACTCTTGAGTCGTCTAAGTTGGAGTACAGTGTTCTCCAAGTGTTCTAGCTTTTCTGTAGCCTCGTCCAACCTGTCTTTTATCTTCGGGGCCTGGCCATGCAACCATCGTAGGCGAGATATCACATTTGCATTTCTGAACAGACGTCTTGGTATGGCGACCAAGCCATGTCCCATGAGGCCGATTGCCAGAATCAGGCCCCAGGTGTAGGCCAGTGCCATGAGCAGGCCCTTGATCGTGGCGAAGTGGAACCCATTCTCGAGAATGAAGTATACGAGGCCTACTGCGCCTGCTGAGAGCACGATGATTTGGTAGCGGAGGTTCGATCGGACGGCGTCGGCGATTCGCTCTCTCGTGTCGCGGAAGCCCGAGTCGCAGTATTCGCCCAGAAGCGGCAAGATGAACCACGTCAAGACGAAGGTGAGCCAGTACGCTATGCGCCATGCTACGAGCGTCACACGCTCAGGCAACCAGATCGCATGGTTGGCGTTGGTTGCTGCGCAGTCGATGGGGACCAGGAGGATAATCGAACAGGGCAAGAAGAGGGCCAGGAAGACGGGGAGCAGCAGCCAGTGCGGCGTGTTTCGAAGAGGCAAATAGTGTCGAATAGTCAGCAAAACCAGCAATGCGATGGTCAAGAGTGCCGACGCCGCGAAGATGTTCGAGGCCACCGACGACGCCGCGGACGCCGATGCGGCCTGCTCGTCGCCGATCATGTTGTGCATTCAGGTGTGCTCCAGCGGGTGCTGATCCATTGCATTATCCGCCGACGGTGCTGACGGATGCTATGTTGGACGCAGAGGTGTGTTGTGTCATGTGTCTGCGTGGGATGTGGCTGCGTACCTCCTCGTACTCTACCCTAACACCGGAAAGGTGCTTCCGCATTGACTTCCACCACCGCACGGCAGAGCATCCTCCTCCCACCATTCAAGCATCGCGATGCCCACTGCGGCAGCCTGCTGGTGCTCGGCGTTGCATGGCATTCTTGCCGCGCGTGTCCGCCTGCTGATGTGAGTGCTGCGCGCGATCCGATGCTCTGGACTTTCCTCGGACCCATCGCGCGTGCCAGCGAGGCCAATCCACATCATGAGCACATCAAGTCCCCACTCGCCCTAGTGTGACGACTGACGGGCGATGGCCGTAAAGATGGTGCATAAATCGAAACCCGCCTCCTCTGCATCCCTATTACAAGCTTACCAGATTCGACACTCACCATGACGGTAACTCAGATCAAGCAATGGAGGACCGCTTTCGATGGCCTCGACAAGCTGAGGCAGACGACCGCCGAGATGCCCCAGCCAAGTGACGGAGAAGTTCTTGTCAAGATACTGACTGTCTCCTTGAACTACCGCGACACTGAAGGTGCGAGAGTCTCTCTTGGCCCCCGTGGGAAGTGATATTAACATCTCGTGCAGTCTGTATGGGCCTGTACAATCACCACAAATCTGTGGACAGCCCGGAAGATCTCGTCCCATGCTCAGATGCTTGCGGCATCATCGTTAATCCTGGCTCATCAGATTGGAAAGAGGGCCAGCGCGTCATGTCAATCTTCAACCAGACCCATCTCACTGGACAAGTCAAGCAAAAGGACATGGCAAGTGGACTTGGGCTTCCGCTCCCAGGCGTTCTGTCGGAGTACAGATGCTTTGATGCGAGTGCCTTGGTGGCTGTCCCAGACTACCTTTCGAATGAAGAAGCCGCAACTCTTCCAATAGCCGCTGTAACTGCTTGGATGTCGATCAACCAGTTCAGACCTCTGAACAGTCCGGCGGATGGTAATGTGGACGAAACAGTTGTGTTTCAAGGCACTGGAGGAGTAGCGATCTCTGGTTTGCAAATCGCACACGCAGCTGGTTTGAAGACGATTATCACTTCCTCGTCTGACCAAAAGCTGGAAAAGGCGAAGAAGTTGGGGGCCGATCACGGCATCAACTACAAGGCCAACTCCGAATGGCAAGAAGAGGTCATGAATATCACAGAAGGCGAGGGCGCTGATATTATACTCGAGACTGGTGGGGCTCAAACGTTGCGCAAGAGCTTCGATTGCGCAAGCTTCGGAGGTCTCATTTCCTGCATAGGCTACCTTAGTGGGAAAGAAGATGCTCCTGGATTGAATACAAACCTACTAGCCCTACGCCGGAACCTGACCTTGAAGGGAATACTCAATGGCCCTAAGGATCGCTTCGAAGAGATGTGCAGGTTTTACGCCAAACGCCAGATTCATCCTGCGATAGACAGGACCTTCAACTTCGACGAGGCAAAAGACGCTCTGCAGTACCTGTACTCCGGTGGGCATTTTGGGAAGGTTGTCATCAAGGTGGCTTAATACCATCGATACAGCAATGAATCGCTCGATTACGATACTCGACATGCGAACAAGACTTGCGATCATTCCGATAGCAGCGGCTAATGCAACCCTAGTATTACTTCCGCTTGCGGGCTTTCTGCTTCTTCAATTTCGACATGCCGGAGTCAACTGCATTCGTGACTCGATCTTGCACATTGTGCTTCTCAGCTTCTTCCTGGATATCATCGATTACATCGTCCTCGTCGGGGCATGACGTCCCAAGACAAAGATCCAAAAGACCAAGCCGACCATAATTTCCAATTCCGTAGCCATCGCCCACCGAAGTAAAGTGTGCCTCATTCCGACGAGCCATCCCGCCAGTTATGATCGTGGACGGAAGTGTAGTATACCCGGAAAATATGAAAAACTCCTCTAGAGAAACCAAGCTTAGGAATAAGTGCCAGGTAAGGACATGCCAGCGAAAGATCACGGCCGGCAAGAACGTCGGCAAGAACCCCTTCAGCAGATATGCGGCAGGATGGTCATATGCTGCGAGCATGCTGAAGGTGATGTCTGTGCAGTGCTGATATTCCAGGTGCCATTTTTGTAACACTGATTGCCACTCATGCAGCACGTATCGATGTACTGCGTAGTGTACAGCGCCCCTCACAGCAAAGCCCTTCAGCACATCCATCAGCAGTGTCCAGGGCAGAGGAACGGCCTTCGAAACCTGCAGGAGACTGCGAAGATGAAGTATTCGAGTGGCCACAATTTCGAGTATTGCCTGTAAGAGCACACCCAGAAATATGTTGCACGTCGCAAGAGCCGCAACGTGTAACAGCCGGTCTCGACCAAGCTGGTGTGGAAGATGTCTTTTTCCTGCTGCCTTGACTTTGCGACTCATGCTAGGTATCGATAAATCGAAGCCGAGTGAGAGTAGCGACGGTATCAAGTAGCAGAACAGCCTAATGATTGCAGTGCCGTATATTTCGATGGTTAGCGGTCCTTTGCTACATTGGTCGATCGATCTTAGCAAGTCCATACATATGGATTCATTCGTTCCCAGCTTACCTCCAGATCAAGCTTATCCATGTCAGGTAAAAGAAGCCGAGGCTGACAGTGGTTGACGAGCCGCCGTACAGCGGAATGGCAATGAAGGACACCAGTGGGAGCGGCAGTGTCAACATGCCTGTTACTTTCGACATGACAGTTCCGTAGAGCTCCCAGAAACCCGTCGGCCATCCTGCCGAGCGACCTGATAAATACCCTGACCCATAGACGAGTTTATCGCGAACAGCCTGCATTGTTGTTGCGGTATGTCGTTCGAACAAGATACATGTCACACCGACTTCCACTCAGAATCCGAAGTCCTCGCCGTCGCTTTTCGACTGTCGCGCTCTCGCAAAATCAAAACAGGGAAACGCGTCGGCAGTGACGTCACAGCAACCACGTGGACGCGTGACAGATCGCGTTTCTACCTGTACTCGGGCTGCCTCTGCCTCTGTGAGTCTGTGTCTTGCTACTGTACTGCTTCGAGAATTGAAGCCTGCGTCGAGCATCATGGCGCAGACAGCCATTGGCAAGAAGTCGGCAGCACGCATGAGCGGAAGGATATTGCGGGCAAACGCAGCTTCCCTCCCCCTGCCTCAACGCACTGTCACGCGACTGAAAATATCATCACGTACTGTCATGAGTTGTAATGTGGCATCTTACCTAGCCATCGGACATCCTGCTATCGAAGTCAGATACATGCACGTGGGCTTGTCTGCACTGGCGATAAGCAAAGGTCGGTGTCACTCGGAATACGAATCTTGCCGATGAGCTCTGCCGACCACAAAGGATGGTTCCATCGAAATTCCATCGACTACAGGCCGTCACTGTTACCGAAGGGCGGACCAAGCACTAGAACTCAGTATGAGCTTCTCTGTCTGCTACTACAGTCCGTCACTCGACGTTGTATATTGGCCAGCCACGCCAGCGGCACACTCCAGCACACATTGGTCAATGAACCTTGCAAGTCACTCTTCTTGAACACCGCAACGGAATCCCCGACGAGTACCTGGCCTGCCTACGAGCACAGCGACACAACAATTACTCGATGCACGCCCTATTGCGCAGCGAACATCCAACGTCATTCCTGGATCCAATATGCAGCTTAGGTCAGCAGCCACCCTCCGATGTTCCTTTTCCACTGTAGGGCTGAAGCCATTGACGAAAGGATTCTGTCTGGATCCTGCAAGATGCTGCGCACAAACAGAGTACGTCTCTTCACCGCAATTGCCGGAGTCTATGAAGAGCTGACGCGCCCTACTGAAGAAGTGGTGTGCGGACACGTGTGAATGTCGAGCTCAACTCCCGCTGGCACGAATTCCGATGCCGCTCGTTCCTCGCCTGCCCAGCACATATGAGATCTGGTAAGACGTCTCGATGATTCGAAGCATTGACAAGCAATCGCGTAGATTACTCAGACAACCAAGTATAGACTGGACCGATGTCACCGCTGTGATTACAACATCTTCTGGTGACTATGAGCGCCATCTACATCAGGCGCTGCGCACAACCTGCACAGTACATAAACATATGTGGCAATGCCTGGAACTAGATGGCGGTTAAGCAATTCATCATGCACGAATATACTAATGTGACGAACGAGAACTGGAGAGGCAAGAATGACCCTGCTGAAAGAAGACGCATACAGAATCGGATCAACCAGAGGGCTTTCCGGCAACGGCAGCGCGAAGGAGAATCTTCCAAAAGTTCTCGAAGTCAAAGTCCGTCAGAAAGTGCTGCTTCGACATCTTCGAGGTCCGAGAATGCAGTGAAGAATGGCGGGCAAGACACGTCCAGCACATTGGCACCACAACTGAGCGTTGGGAGCAATACGTCAACAGGCCGCCACTACGATGATCTGGCTCGCCTGATCAATCGAAACTTCTACGCGGCAGTCTACTCGAACGCTCGTTCCCTAGGCATCAAGCAATCATCAATCCAACGTGCAGAGGTCGGCCTGACAGCGAAGTCGGACAAAGCAGTGCCGAAGACACTGGCCCCGATCCCAGCACAGTACCAAATTGCGCACGACCATCTTATCGATGCTCTCCCACACGCGAGGCTCAGATACAACATACTACGGGCAACGGCAATGTCACAGATCGATGCAACTATGCTGTTCGACGAATTGCGTTGCTCTGGAGCACTGGAGTGCATTGGCGGCAGCTGGCAGAGATGCGGATTGATTGTTTGGGGCGATGCAGATCAGGTGCACAGCTGGGAAATATCTGCTGGCTTCGTGCAGCGATGGTCCTCTCTTCTCTATGGATGTGAGGATCTGCTGGCAGTCACGAATTCCTGGCGAGCACAGAGGGGGGAGCCCGTGTTCCCACAGTCCATGAGTACCAGTTGATGCAGAGAGCGCGACATTGTTGTGCAGCAGCTCAGATTGTTTCGTGTGTGAAGCGAAGGTATCGGATGAGCAACATGAAGTCGAACATGGCCTGGTATTAGAATAGAGCGCAATGATCCGGAATCTGCACCGAGGGCTGGCTAGACCGGGAAGCTCCAACTCCGTTGACGCCTCGCCTTTCACGATGGGAAAGGCCTGAAGACAGAGGGAGGCGGTCCATATGCAGAGGCAATGAAACAGAATAAAGCAGCATTTTCCATGCATTCGCCGCTTTCACGCGCCTCGCATGCTGCGGGGATATGCAAGATGCACGCGCTCCCATTTATAGAATTGCAAGATGCAGCAGTAGCCGCAGGACGATTTGTCGTCATCACTGCCCATGAAAGAAGCACGATTGTACAGCATGTGAACGGCCGCTCGGAGTGCAGTCCTGCTCGAAAATATGGTGAGCAAATTGTGGGCAGCTTTTTAGGTCGCCCCTTGTACCAATATTGAGACCTGAAGGTGCATTGACGCAAAGCGCAAGTGCAAATTTCCGAATCGATATCGATGGCGCGCATTGCTGCAGGGTCCCCTTTCTTCCCCGCTGCATCACTGTCTTCAAGTTCCATGCTGTCGGGCTCGTCGACAGCATGGCTGGCGCGCAGTGGGCAGAAGCTCCGCGCAATATTCGTGCACATGTGTGCTGTAGCAACAACAGAGGCAGCCAACAGCCACCCACCTGGCGTTCCTGACGGCGATCTACCCGTCTGCCGCGGACCGGTGCGTTTGTAACTTCGCATCGTTCCCAGTGCTTCGCTTGCGCCCAGGGCCTAGCGATAGCGTGCCAATAAGTAGGAGGTCAGGACGAGCGTGCGAGCGTTGATAGAATATTGCATGGAGACGATCCTGCTGCTGCTGTTATTGCTGCCTCGCACTGCATGCTGTTTCACCGCTGTCCGAAGTGTGTTGCGCGTATAGTGCGTTCCAACGGCCGCCTGTGCCTGCACGCACGTTCTCGCGCCGCACCGCACCCACTGCGCGCGCCTATCGACGTTGCTCGGCGCCGTCGTGCTATACGGCTACAGTGAGGCGCACCACCGGGCGAGAGTGCAATGGCGTGGTGAGCGGAATCGAGAGCAGCTGCAGCGCCAACCACCGTCTGCTGGCTCCTGCAGCGCCGTGAGCCTCGCGGTGCCTCGCCATGGACGTCGACGTTGCCGTCGACCAGCGCGGGAGACATTGGGACCAAGCGGCAGAATCGTCGAAGTCTACCTCGTCCCAGCACCTATCCAGCAGTCGCCCCAAGACCCGTCACGCCAGCTCTGCCGTTTTAACGTCCATCATCGACTCGCTCGACACCCTGGGCCCATTGCCTGACATCCACGCCCACGATCACTTCTCGGAAACAGCCAGCCGACGTTCCCTTCCCGAATCCCTCAACCGCTCCGTGGCCAGCTCGGCCTCCATCCATAAGAACACCATCTCGCCCGGCTTTGGCGTCGAGTACGGTGGACAGCTGGAGCTGGACGATGTCGACGGCGTGACCGATGCCGCCCTGCCCCCTACCGTCCCCACCTCCAGGCCGCCTTCGGGCTTGTCGATGCACCAAGTGCCGCGACGAGAGAGTAGCAGGAAGTCGGCATCGATCACAGGCTCGTTGCGCCCGCAGCCCGCTTCGCGCAAGAGTTCGCTGGGTTCCGTTGCAAGTACTGGCAGCCCTCGGAACACGCTGAGCTCAGAGAGCTGGGTCCGCAAGAGCACGTCCAAGGGAGGAGACGACGACGATTCGGGCAGCACGCGGGGCAGATCAGCGCGCAAAAGCCGCTTGAAGGGCGTGAGCTCGCACAGCGCATTGCGCATGGATGAGAACTGGCCGTTGTCGAGGGACATCAGCGAAGACAGCACGCGTGTGTCGTTGGCCGACCACGTCATTGCCAAAGCTCCTGCGCCGCCTCCTGCTGGCCGAGGCAGAATTTATTTATCAGATGCCACGATCAACGAAGATCGGTCTGAAGTCACTTCACCTCCATTGTTGACGCACAACTCCTCTGGTGGGCGAAGCGGTGGCAGTGAGAGCAAAGCTTCAGAGCGGCTGTCTGTATCGGGGTCCTCCTTGAAATCTCCAAGTCCAATTGAAGATTCTATTCCCACCAGGTTTTCTTCGCTGCGCATGTCCAGTAGTAGTTCTACTGGCAAGAAGAAACACAAGAAATCGAAACGACGCGCGACCCCGAGCAATACTGACAAAATGGGCTACCGGCCGTCCTCGCCAATACCAGAATCGAGCTGGGCAGATCTAGGCGACGACGACGAAACAGTAAGGCGCATTAGACAATTGCGAGAGCAGCGCAAATCACGACTACAAGAAGAACTTGTTTCTGCGGAAGGCACAGAACCCAGCGCGCTACTCGCTCCTTCCCGAGATCCCGTCCCACAACGCTCTGCAAGCGAAAGGCGACCGTCCTCACCAGATGACAGTGCTAGAAAGGCACGCAAGCTCCAACGACCGGTCCATCGCCATAATGTCGATCAAGCGAAGGCGCACAAAACCCTGGGTCTTCGCGACTCAAGTAGAACGCGGCAACGTGTGGATGACATTGATCCAGCGGGCCTGGTCAGACCGGCAGGATTTAATATCGATCAAAGACCAGCATACTCTCTGGATATCCAGCGGCCCTCGTCGCAACGCAGACCACAGACCGCGAAATCGGTAGACCGACCCCCTTCGCAACGACTTTCTCTCGATTACTCTTACGCACAAGCAGTAAATCTGTTCCAGAACGACATACGCGACCACAGTCGCTCAACCGAGCACAGAAGCCGAGAATCGTCGGCGCCTGCGCCCGCCGTTAGAAGTGGAGACTCGGACACTCCAACGAAGCCAGGCTCACTTTCGAGCGCGTCGCGTTCGACGAAAAAGAAGGCCAAGCGTACTGCAGAAGAGAAGCTAACAGGAAACCATCCCGATCTCCCACTGAGTTTCGACAAAAGGAGAAATCGAAGGAAATCGATGAGTGATGCCCGCTTGGCATTATCTGGAGACAAAGATGCGGGAGCCTCGCGACGAGATAGCATTGACGAAGCAGTCTCAGAGTACCTGCAAGCGCCGCGGCTGAATCGCAGAGTGAAGAACCTGCCCAGCGGACGTGTCATTTCATACTCAGAGGTCGGCGATCCGAAAGGAGCGGCTGTTTTCATTTGCGTGGGCATGGGCCTCACTCGATACGTGACTGCATTCTATGACGAACTGGCAACGACCTTGCGACTTCGGTTGATCACGATCGATCGACCCGGAGTGGGAGGCAGTGATCCTTACCCTCCTTCAGACAAGAGTGGACCACTGAATTGGCCCGAAGATGTACTGACGATCTGTCAACACCTGGGAATCATCAAATTCAGTATCCTTGCGCACTCGGCAGGAGCAATATATGCGCTGGCCACGGCTCTCATCCTTCCCCATCTCATACGGGGTAAGGTCCATTTGCTCGCCCCTTGGGTTCCGCCGAGCCAGCTTGAGGCGATTTCACACCCAACTTCGTCTGCGCCTCCAGCGAACCCCTTGCCAAGAAGTCAGCGCTTCCTTCGCGTTCTCCCGACGCCATTTCTCAAGGCAGCGAATGCTTCGTTCATGACAGCCACATCAGCGTCTCTCAAACCTGTCTCCAAGCGAGCGAACAGGTCAACTCCTACCAAGCCTTCGCCCAAGAGACAAGTCAACGGGGATGAGACCTTGCAAGACAAGGCGTCAGGCCGTGAGCGCCCAGAATACAACCGACGTGAATCTATGATGTTGATGGACCAATATATGCCATCGACTAACCCGCTGGACAACTTCCCAATCCCAGTGCAAGAGGAGCAAGAAGACGAGGAGAAGCGTCGAAGAGGCTCGCTCGTGCTTACTGCGACTGCAACACCAATGGATCCGAGCTTCGCATATGCCTCTATTGGTCTCCATGCTGCCGAGCACGCGGAGAAGGAACGCCAGGTCGAATATACCAGCCGCTTGACGCAGGCCACTTGGGACATGGCAACGCGGGATAGCAACCCTGCCACAGATCTTGTGGTCTGTCTAGAGCGCAATCGCGATGTTGGGTTCCGTTATACGGATGTCGCTCGCGAAGTAGTCATCACTCATGGTTCTGAGGACAAGCGTGTCCCAGTCGCAAACGTGAAGTGGCTGGCAGAGCAGATGAACCGAAGGGCATTGGGGGCCACCATTGAAAGAGGCTCCGGGAGAGACAGTAGAGACAGCTGGGTCTCCACTGCGAGAGGTGGTTGCGAGGTGCGCATTCTGGAGGGCGAAGGACATGGCTTGATGGCTAGTCCGGTGATTATGGGCGATATTCTAGAAGAGATCGCACGAACGGCCTATGAGCGCGAGAGTCTACAAGAAGAGAGGAGAGGCTGATCTCGTTTGAGATGACTTGAACGGTTCTCATCTGTTGGCGCTGTCGCTTCGAACAGATGCCATGGAAAGCGCGCCTTACCCATCACAGGACAATGGGATTTTTAGCATTTGCAGTAGTATATTAGTATGATACCCACGGGCTCAGCACAGCTGCAGCCTGGTTGCTTTTCTCTCATGCCGCCTGCTTGACTCTGTAATACTCCGGTCCATATACCAACAGCCACGCCTTCTCGATTTTTGTGACCTCGCGAATGAAGGTCTTCTCGCCGCTCTCCAGCACTTCATTGAAAATGACCCAATCGGCTTTGCGATTGAACATCAGACTTGACGGATGAGCATGCAGTGTCGTCGCACCGTCCACAGTCTTGAAAGTCCCATCGGGCATCATGCGCGCAGCATGCGCAAAGAACCCACTGGCCAAGCATCGTCTGATGGATTCTTCTTTCGATCGGCCACCAACTCTGATCACTCCATCTCCGCTCAACGATTCAGTAACATCAATGCCGAATCGTTCCAAGTAACGGCGCAGCTGATTGCGGATGCTGACTGCTCGAGTCAAAGCCTTGAAATTGAGATAGTGCTGTTGACACCATCGAGACTCTTTCTTCCCCTTGGTGACGAAGGCTTGGTAGACATTCAATAGCGTCAGATGATCGCCTTGTTCAACGGCGAATCTCCTGCGTGCAGTCTCTTCGGCTTTCTTACTATCGTGCGATATCCATAAGCTGCCTTGTAAGCTGAGCATGGCGGCAATAGTAAGCATTTCCGAGAGACAATCGAATGCCGGAGCGCCTAGCAGACATTTGGCGAGCATTGGCTCCACGGCGAGTTCTGCCATTCTTGTCCCCAGTGGTTTTGTCAGCTTCGCGTAGTCGTCCAGAGCGCCTAGTGAGAAGAGTAGCTCCAGAGCCCGGATGATCAGTTCCGCGGGTGGGGGAGTGATGAAGTCGAAACGTGCGATATTGTCAATGCCCAGTGCTTTCAGCTGCAGGACCAGTGGGGCAAGATTAGAGCGTTGAATTTCAGGTATAGTGGCTTCGTCCATGGAGTCGAATGCTTCCTCGGTGTACAGGCGATAGCATTTGCCTCCTTTGGTGCGCCCTGCCCGGCCTGCCCGCTGCGTAGCCTTATGTACCGATTAGAACATGAAATTTCGAAGTCTGACTGTTCACATGTGTCGGTAGACAGGGGATAAAACTGTTGGACTTACCGAAGATCTCGAGATTGGAGTCGTCGTAAGGGCCTCTATGCCTGTATGCGGATTGTATGCCCTCAGCTTGACGAATCCGCAGTCGATCACGTACACGATGCCATCTATCGTCACACTGGCTTCTGCAATGTTTGTTGCGAAGATGACTTTGCGTGTGTTCTCCGAACTTGGTTCAAAGACATACATTTGCTGTTCAGTGCTCAGGCCCGCGTAAAGGGGGAGCGCAAGCAGGGTGGGCGCGTCTGCGTCAAGCTGTGGTAGGCGATCAGCCACTGCCTCCATCGCCTTTTCAATCTCTTCGCGTCCCGTCAGGAAAACCAATATGTCGCCATCTGGCTCGCTTCGGTGAATGTCGAACACGACTGATACCGCACGCTCGAGATATTGCTCGCAAGGGCTCGTCAAGTAGTGGATGTCGACTGGATAGGCTCTTCCTTCGACACTGACAATAGACGCGTGAGGTTTGTCGATCTCTTCGCCCTTTTGCGCATCCGCAAGCCCAAAGAACTCCAGAAATCGCTCGGCATGCAACGTTGCAGAGCTGATGATAATCTTGAGGTCTGATCTTCGCTTCTGGATCTTTTTGAGGAGACCAAGCAGAACATCAGAACTCAGGCTGCGTTCGTGTGCTTCGTCTACCATGATGACACGATATCGTGACAGTAAGGGATCCACAAGGGCCTCTCTGAGAAGCAACCCGTCGGTCAAAAACTTGATCCTTGTGGCGTCAGACGTGACATCCTCGAATCTGATGCTATAGCCAACGTCTTGGCCTAGAGGACAGCGCATCTCATCGGCAACCCGCTTGGCCACTGTAGTCGCCGCGACCCGGCGGGGCTATGACAAACCTGTAAGCCGCCGTCAACAATTATCAAAAGTGAATTGCTTCGGATCGTACATGCTTGAGTAATGGCCATGCATTTGCCGTCCGAGCACCAGCCTGCTTGGTCGAGATATTGTGGTAGTTGCGTAGTCTTGCCACTTCCGGTCTGGCCGATCAAGATTGTGACTGGGTGTTGCTCGATTGTGTAGAGCAAAGCATCGCGATGACGAGCGATCGGAAGCAATGAAGACGGCTTATGGAGACCGGGAATGAATGCGTCAGTGTCGGCCATGATGTTGTCTCTGAATGCCGACGTTCAGGTCGCTGCTTCAGGCTCATCGCATGTCTTGTGGCATGCTATCTGTTGTGAGTTTGATAGTCTTCTGCAAGAACGCCATGGAGAGGTCGGAACACGGAGAGTTCTGGCGGCACGGATCGAGCCGGATACTAGCGCATACGTCACTTGCACACTTGTCAAGGCAGCACGTTTTTGGTCCAGTATCGCCAACACACACGTGCACGCTCTGAAGGAATGCCCAAAACCCATATCCTTCAGCTTCGCAACCTGTCAGAATACCAGTACCAGGCGAACCGAGCAGGTCGCAGCCAGCGACCACAATGGCTAGCAAGAACAGCCCTCCGGTGTCTCCAATCAGGCCCGAGGAGTCGGCCACAACACGCGAGGAGATGAGCTTCGACGACGAACAAGAGACGGGCACCGTGTCTCCACAGGGACATGAGACTCCCACTAAAGGTCCTGCCAAAGCTCTCTCGCCTCGTCCCCGTGTCTCATTCCAGGATGGGCATGAAGAGATCCCACCCACGAAACCACCGCGGCCGCTCAGTACCACCCAACAGGCCGAGAATACGCTGATCGAGGCATTTCCTACCATCGACGCCAAGGTTGTCAAGGCCGTCTTGACAGCGAGTGGCGGCAAGATCGAGCCTGCTTTCAACGCCCTCCTTAGCATGTCGGATGAGAATTTCCAACCTGAGGAAGACTCAGCCGCTCCACCTCCGCAGCCACCCCGATCTGCGGTTCGTCAGCGACCAGAAATGAGTCAACTCGAGGCCGATGAGCTATATGCGCGACAATTGGCGGAGGAATATAACAGTGGAGGAAACCGCTCGCAGACTCGCTACAATCAGCGTGAGCCTGGGCGCCGAGGTCCGAACCAGCAACGGCCATACCAAGACGACGATGACGATCGCGAGCGCAGCTTTTTTGACGACGAATTGCCGGAGATAGGACGTAACATTCAGCAGGGCTTCCTGGAAACCCAGAAACGAGTCAACAGCTGGATCACAACCTTCAAGAAGAAGATTGATGGCGAAGAAGATGACCCTGAGGATTTGTACTCTTCATCGCGGACAAACACGAGGCAGAATACTGGTCTCGGTGGCAGGCAAGATTTTGGCCCGAGTCAAAGCGAGCAATTGCGTGGTATCAGAAAGTCTGCGGAGCAACAACGCAGAAGTACAGATGCGCAGCGCTATGATGCAGACCCGCGGGAGTTTGACGCAGGAGAGTTCGAACGCCTCGAGATGCGCGATGATGAAGCTCGTAAGTAGTGCAGCAGAGCATATCTGGGTGCAAATATTGACTGCAAGACAGCACCTCCCCAGCCCCCTCGAACGAGCAGCAGGAAAGCAGCGAATCCGGATCTTTTCAAGTCGCAGCCGAAGCCTCCTCAAACAGGGCCAGTCGATGAGGTCGACGCGGCCGATAGGAAGGCCATGGGCAAAGATGCAACAGAGGCAGATAAGAGTAAGAAGTGGCAGCCTTTAACGAGCGTCGCTCCGAACCCCGAGGACGACAATGATCCGTTCTCCCTTGGCGACGATGATGAAGACAAGGACAAGACGGAAGACATTCGGAAGGAAGATACAGAGAGGCTCAAGCAAGCTGCTCGCAACAGTGTCAGTGCTGGAACAGACGAGACGACCCAGCGCAAGCCGTCTGAAAGTGACTCCGGAGTGAGGAACAAGGAGGCTGAAGAGTTGTTAAATGCTACCAAGAAGTGAAACATGAGGTGTACTACGATTACAGCTTCGCAACACTGACGGGCATGGCACCCGTGTCAGATACGTCCAGGATAGCTGCACGTGGCGGGTGACAATTGAAATAGCATTAATCAAGGATCTGGACAGCATTGTGTCGACACTGAGACGATACGATCGTATCCGGCTCAAATGGAAGGGGACATTACGTTTTTCGGCCCCAGCTGTACCAAAACGGAAGGCAGTTGCGAACGACGCTCGAGCTCGGCAGGACAGAACAGGCACATCACCTTATCAACTTGGCACCCAACAAAGGTCAATACATGTAGCTTCTGCCCTTTTCACATTGCACTGTTTCACAACGTGTCCAATGATGGTATTGCACATCATGGTTGGCCTTATCGGGCTCTCTCTGGCTCGTGAAATTACATTTCCACCAGTGCAACATCCTCTGGGAGTCGAGACGGAAGCGCCAGGACTTAGCGAGGACATTTCTCTCGCGAAGTTTGCTGGCTTGACTACTTTTGCGAATCTGGTATGAGTGCACGATTGCGTTTTATTGTTGTTTGCTTTATCACTGATAATCGTCTGTCAATGCCCAGCCGTATGTCCACTGTCTCTCGTCTAATAAAGAAGTGGAACCTTACGACATCGCAATACTGGGCGCGCCCTTCGACACTGGCGTCACTGCCCGTCCGGGAGCTCGGTTTGGCCCTCTAGGTATCCGAGAGGGATCAAGACGCATCTCGCCAGCTTTCGGATACTCGGTATACACAGGCCAAAATCCGTTTGACCAGGGTTTCAAGATTGTAGACTGTGGTGATGCCCCCTTGACTGTTCTCGACAATACTGTCGCGCTCCGACAGCTTGGAAAGGCGCATCAGGTGAGGCCACGACATCCAGAGCACCTTTCTTCAAACACTAATCAACGACAGGTGACTTCCTCTCGAAGAGCCAATTCAACAGAATACACTGTGCCACGAATCATCACGCTGGGTGGGGATCATACAACAACCTTGCCAGCTCTAAGATCTACGTTCCAACACTGGGGGGCTGTGTCCGTAATACACTTCGATTCGCAGTGAGGATGTCCTATGTTTCTGCGCACTGAGAGGATGACTGACCGCTGAACGCGAGAGTATAGTCTTGATACATGGTAAGTCCAGATGGCAACAACGCTGAGGATCGCAAACGCTGATCAATGGGCCAATGGATAGGGATCCCGAGCTTTTGGGAGGCGGACTCTCTCACTACTCAGGTGTCAACCACGGAACATTCTGTAGGTGATACTGAACCCGAAAGACCACTGAAGCGGCACTGACTTATGGCTTTTCCGCACCCAGTACACATGTAAGCATGCCTGGCGAGGCGGAGATTCTCGTTCATTCACTGAGTCAACGCAGCGCACACGAAGAGGGTCTTGTCCTCAATTCGTCCATCCACGCTGGAATTCGAGCGCCAGGTGAGGGACCGCACAGACATGGCACAGATTGAACCGATGTACTAATTAATCATAGTATTGAACAAGAAATATGATCTCAAAAATGACAAAGCGTGCGGGTTCCATATCTTGACCGCACGAGATGTAAGTCTCTTTCCAACATTGTGCCTACGCTCAACTACGATCGTTGCCCCGCCTAAGGACGGAATATAGTTGCGATGAGGCGTGCTAATTCCTCTTACGTGTGTTACAGCTTGACAAGTTTGGAATGCCGGCCTTCGTGCAAAAAATCAAAGATCGAGTCCAGGACACGAAGGTCTACATCACGGTAGATATCGACTCTCTGGACCCAGCATTTGCGCCTGCCACTGGTACCGCGGAGCCAGGAGGTTGGACGACACGAGAACTGCTCACTATACTAGACTCGCTTCAAGGCCTTAATGTCATTGGGGCTGATGTTGTAGAAGTCGCACCTGTGAGTTTCGCGAGTTCGAAGTTGATTGCAGATTGCTGAAGTGTTTCTCGTAGATCTATGATAACCCTGGCGAGACCACAACTCTTGCTGCGGCTGAGATTGTGCGGTCTTTGATCCAGCTTATGGTGCGTACAGCGAAGTTGAGAATCTCGTTTGAAGGAAACCTGGCTGACGTGAAACGTGGCTGATCGTAGGTCGATGCTCCTGTGGCACCGTCCAATGCAGTGCAACATGGCGAGCAGTGAAGACGATGAGACTTGGGGATGGTCAATTTGATGGATGAGTAGGCAAGTGGACGTCAATAATTGATGCATCAGATGCGCTGGCGGGTCCGTCCGATGCAGGGTTGCGTTAGCGTTAGCGCGGGAAGCTTGTTCTTCTCGCTCCGCAGCTGTAGAATTCTAGCGTAGCATACGAAATTCTCTAATTCCTCTTCTCGCAAAACATCCTGCCATTCCACAATTCGCAGCATGGCGCCCGCCGCAAAGCGCCAGCGGCTCTCCGATGGCAGTGCCGCAGCAGTGGAGACTGACAATGCGTCCACGGTGGCCACGCCTCGTGCACAGACGAATGAAGACCAAAAGCAGGCCGCGGCCAAACGATGCTCACTCTTCGTGCGCTCCCTACCCGCCGACATCACCACCGAGCAGTTGACTGAACTGTTCTCCGATGCCTTCCCGGTCAAGCACGCCACCGCCGTCATCGATCCCGAGACCAAGCAATGCAAGGGCTATGGCTTCGTGACCTTTGCCGATGCTGACGATGCGGCACAAGCCCGCGCACAATTCAATGGCCACGATTTTCACGGAAAGAAGCTGCGTATCGAGATTGCAGAGCCCCGACGTCGGGATGGCAGAGATGGCGAGAACGCGGCTTCCGTGGGTCGCCAACAAGCAGAACTGGAGAGGCAGCACCAGCCGTCCAAGTTGATCGTACGCAATCTACCGTGGTCGATCAAAGGCCCGAAGCAGCTCGAAAAGTTGTTTCAAAGCTACGGCAAGGTCAAGAAGGCATATGTGCCTCAGAAGGGTCCGGGTCTCATGGCTGGCTATGGCTTCGTTATCATGCGTGGGCGGAAGAACGCCGAAAAGGCGATTGAAGGTGTTAATGGGAAAGAGGTGAATGGGAGGACAGTGGCCGTGGACTGGGCCGTCGAGAAAGAGGTTTTTACAGAGCAGACGGACACCGAAGGTGTAGTCGAGGACAATGCAGATGATCAAGATGCGGAAGCGGTCGACGAAGATCTAATGCAGGACGATGCAGACGACGTGGAGCATACCGGCAGTGAGGACGAGGACGACGATCATGAAAGTGAAGACGGGACGAGCGAGGACGAATGTACGGACGCCGATGCAGACGAGCTGAACCAGGACGATGACAGGCAGGATCGTGCTGAAGACAGGTCGAGTACTCTGTTCATTCGCAATCTGCCTTTCACATGCAGCGATGAGGATTTGGAGGACCATTTCCAGCAATTCGGCAGCACGCGTTACGCTCGAGTCGTAATGGACCACGAGACTGGGCGCTCCAAAGGAACTGGTTTTGTATGTTTCTACGAAAAGGCCGATGCAGACGCATGCCTCCGGTCGGCACCCTTCAAACCAACTGCCGTGAGCGAAGAAACCAAAAAAGGTGGCAAAAACGTGCAGAATGCGCAGTCGGTGTTGCAGAACGAGATGGCCGATCCCACTGGACAGTATACTCTGGAAGGTCGCGTACTGCAGGTCACCCGGGCTGTTGGCAAGTCCGATGCAGCTCGATTGACGGAAGAAGGCACCAATCATCGAAACAAACGCGATCGTGATAAGCGCCGTCTGTATCTATTGGGGGAGGGCACCATCGCAACCAACTCCAAGCTATGGCAACAACTGCCGCCATCGGAGCAGGCAATGCGTGAAGCCAGTGCCAAACAACGAAAGCAGCTCATCGAGAACAATCCTTCTCTACATCTTAGTTTGACTCGGCTTTCTGTACGCAACATTCCTCGCAGTGTCACTAGCAAGGATCTGAAAGACCTTGCACGACAAGCTGTCGTCGGGTTTGCTACAGACGTCAAGGAGGGTCGTAGGGATCGACTGTCCAAAGAGGAGTTGCTGCGTGGGGGTGAAGAAATGCAAGCTGCAGAGGCTGCTCGAAAAAAGGCCGGCAAGGGTATCGTGAAACAAGCCAAAGTCGTGTTCGAAAGCGCTGGTGGGAGCAAGATCAATGAGGAGAGTGGAGCAGGGCGTAGTCGAGGTTATGGTTTCATTGAGTACTACACACACCGAAATGCCCTGATGGGTCTTCGTTGGCTCAACGGACATGCTGTGGATTACCAGGTCAACCAGGGCAAAGGAAAGCTGAGCCGGGAGGAAGTTCAAGATCGCAAGAAAAGACTGATCGTGGAGTTCGCCATCGAGAACGCCCAAGTTGTGATGCGCAGGAACGAGAAGGAGCAAAAGGCTAGAGCGCGCACTCAACCGGGCAACGGCAAACCGGAAGACCAGGATTCGGCAGTCAACAGTGCTTCGAAACCCAGATCGCGAGGTGACAAACCTGGTCAGCGGAAGCGCAAGAGGACTTCCGACGACACATCCGATGCTGTGGAACCTTCGAAATCCACCACAGACAAGCAGAAGAAGACCGTTGACGAGAAAATTGCGAAGCGCAACCAGATCATTGGAAGGAAACGAGCGATCCGTGCGCGCAGGAAGGTCGGCAAATGATGATTGAACCATCCAACCAAACTGGATACACCATCTGTCGTACCGGCATTAGTTGCACGGCATGTCTTTCGACTAGGTGACATTCATGCATTCATGAAGGCAGGCTTCGCACTAATGCTCAGGTGCAGAGTGCAATCGTGCACGCGCCGCCGAGCGCAGTGCAAGGTTGGTGCAGTAGGCCACGATGACCAGGTTAGTATACACCTTTAACAGGTCTGGTACCAATGCAAGTTGTTTTGGCGTGGTCGTAACACCTCACCAGGATTCGGCATTCAAATCGCCGAATCGAGTGCGCTGGTACAAGCTGGCATCGGATGTCAACTGCAGACGAAAGGGAAGGAGTACCGGCGGCCACGGTCCGGTGGCAGGTTGCAGACAGCAGCCAAGCAAGTTGCCGACCAGCAGCTGCACGGCCCAATATGGCCACTGCTCGAGCTTTAACCGGGCTCTAGGGTTCACGATCTTCTGTGCTGTACGACATACGGCAACCGCGGCATGTGTCGGGGTAGTGCCAGTCTGAACCTGTCAGATGTTGCGCAGAAGTGTACGTACGCTGCACAAACTAGTGCATGCAATGTCAACGTCCACGGGCAGTGTCAGACCAGCAAAAGTGATACATAGCAGACAATGAAAGCTGTCAGCGACGTCGTTCGCGACCCGGACATCAAGTGAACTGGCGGACACGGCTTCGCACTGCCCTTTCAACAAAAATGTCCAATGTACAATTCGACGACTTCTGTCAAACTTCAGATTTGAGGAGAGCTTGATTAACCTGACTGAATGTGGGCGACATCGCTGCTCTACCCCCATGCTTGTAATGCGACTGATAGCGTATTTCTCTCCAGTACTCATGCCGTGGCAGGATAACGACTGGAGGTGGGATGCTTTGCGTAACAGTTGCAACGCCTGAATGCATACCAAAACTTGACCCACGACCTTTGTGAAGGGGTTCTAGCCATGATTGTATCATTAGCATCGATGTACTGTCGATGATCCATGGGGTAAGTGGAGACAGTTTCCTCACAACCAGAACAGGCCACAGCATCCAGACGCTCCACGTCTGCAGAGAATCGGATATAAAAGAACATGGGTTTCTCACACAGCCTGATTTCTTCCTCGCCATCCTTTCCTCAACTCGCTTTGCCAGATTCGTTGGACTTTTGCTTTTTCTCCTCGATTGTAGCTGGTGGTATCTGTTGCCGTTACTCACACGAGCCGATCAGCTTCTGATATCGGACACATTGCACAGTCAGTGATCTTCAATGCAATTCATGAACGACACCATATTGATAACACATCCGCAGCCTACCCAGTGCACCACCACAAATCCTGTTTCACCTGATTTCCTCCTACATCGTGCAACATGTGCCAAGTAAGTCCACGATCTTGTCAAGGATCTCAAGATATGAGCTCACAGAAGAGTCAAGTTCGAAGTCATCCACTTTCACTGCGGCCATGCCGGTCGTCGCCTCATCAAGCACTGCCATGCTGCTCGCAACGACGCCAATCATCAATGCTTCGGAGCATGGGCCATCAAGCGTGAATGGTACAGCGCCAACCAAATCTGTCAGCAATGCGGCCAGCAACAAGCCATGATGCGACACGCACAGCAAGCACAGCTCCAGATGTGAAAAGGTGGAAGAGTTGTCGTTTCGGCGTGGGGAAAAAACTTCATGAGACATGACGGTGTTTCGGCGTTGTGGACATACCCATTGAGTGCTTTTTATTTTTCAGCGATCGTTCAGTTCGTGGGATATTGTGGGTTCAAGGATCATGAGAGAAGAGACGCATAATGACAAGAGAAAGTGAAAGCTTTCTCATCTTTGGAGTGCCGCTCGTGCTGTTACTCTTTTTTCCCATTTACTCTCCAGTATTCGTGGCACCTTCCACCTTGCCCTTGACATTATACCGCTTGCTGAAAAAAGTGAACCAATCATTCAGCACCTTCTTCTGATCATCCGTCAGATCGTACCAATCCGGTCGGCATTGGTCTTCCTTCAGTGATGACTGTGCCAGAGCTCGAGAAGCATCTTTGCCAGCGAAGACTGCAACGGACGACAAAATTTCGACGTTAGTGGCGTGCGCCAATATGCATGCATGGGTCTGATGTGAATCGAATGGGGAAATAGTTCGAGCTGCTGGCTGGGTGCTACAGGTGGTACGAACCTTTGTACGAGCCTTCAGGGCCGTAGGCTTTGTTACCCGTCACATCGAAGACCGTGCCCTGTGCGAGTTTTAGCTTGGTCGGTGGGGAGAACCTGGGGTGTGCGTCTTGTGCTGGTTTACCTTGATCGCGACGTATGTAGGGTATCCTTCATGCTTTCCTAGCAACAGTGATGTTGAGTGAGCGCCGGGCTTCTCTGAGGACAAACCCGATGATTGTGCACTTACCGTCACACTTGGCGAGATAGTCGAGACTGATGATGTCGTCCTTAGGAGGCTCGAGCTCCACCTTGTGCTTGGGCTCGAACGACATGGTGCTGCGTGGGAGGCGAGTCGTACAAATATTCGTAGCGGCAAATATGTCCTGTTTCCGATTGCTTGGGTTTGCTAATGCAAGTTGACCTGAAGTGAGCACGGTGGGTGGATTGATGACACATGCGGACGTGGGGTCAATGTCTTGGCGATTCTCAAAGTGACAGGCTCGACAGGACATGGAATTCCTTCTGCTTGGATAAATGTTGCTGCACTATTCTATTCTAAATAATCTATGCTATGTTGGACGCTGCAATATCAGGTTCGGCGTTGCAATATCGAATTCTCATTCCTCCCAGTGACACGGCATAGGAAGCAGTACAAGCCACTAACAATCGAGTTTGTGCTCAAGTGTCATGTCATTCTCCGGTTCCAAACCCACACATGCTTTAAGAATGTTGATCAAAGCGCTTCGCTGCTTTCCGAGAGCGTTGACTACCGGTGTACCAGGTGGCGTCAAAGGTGCCTTGAGCATGTAGCTCAGTACACTGAGGACGCTGTGGAAGCTCTTGTAATCCTGCTCGCCATCGTGTCGCCATTGGATGCGCGTGAAGAGTTCTGTGAGTATGACCAAGTCGATGATCAGCGGTGAGGCGAGCAGCGAGTCCTCGCAGACGTTGAATATGCTGATTGTTTGATGGCCGCCCATAAAGATCTCGGCATAGTACTCATCGAGCGCACGCTTGTTGTCGCCAACTGCAGGCATGTACTTGATGACAACAGTGTGATCTGGATGCTCGTCCTTTTCGTATAGCACGTTGTTGGCTGCCACCATATCGTCGACGACATTGGACTTGGAAATCTCCTTTGATCGAAATTGCTTCTGCGAGGAGAGGTTCTTGCCATCGTTGTTGCCGAGATGGTTGTAGCTTGCAATAGAGGTGAGCTTGATGCCCGCGTTGATGAGGAAATCTACGAGCGCAGACTTCATCTTGGTCTGGCCGGATTTGAAATCGTCGCCCCCAATGAAGGCATTGTGCTTCTCCGCAAGCTGGATACAGCCAGGGACAAAAGTATTTTGCGGCGATCCGTTGACGAAAGGCGCATTCTCCAGGATACTTGCAACTGCAAAGACAGTAGATGGTGATACTTCTTCGTGCCCAGCCTCAATGGAAGCCATCAAGTTGTCTGCGGTGTCGTTGACGCCTGGGATCACCTCAGCGTAACGCTCGGTGTTTGCCGTCCATAGAATGATGACCTTGTCGAGGCTGTTGGAGGATTTGAAGTTGCGAATATCAGCACGAATGTGCTCAACATGCTCCAAGCATGCTTTGGATCCCGGAATGACATTGTCTGCTCGGTCGCCTTGGTTTGAAGCGATGAAGTCTGGGTAGTATATACTTGGCAGCGGCTTCATGCCGGCCATCTCTTTCTTCACCAGTTGCTTCAAAGTCGGCTCTAGAACTTGTGCGCGGTCCATCGCAGAGGCAAGATCCATACCACTGATATCCCAACCGCCGACGACCAGGTCATCAGGATGCACCATGGGAAGCATGCTTTGAAGAGGAATGTTGACATCCTCACCACTCTCAGCATCAGTGCCAAGTTTGACTGTAGAAGACATGACAACTGAGCCGTAGTAGTTTGCAGCGCGCGGGCCCTCACGCGTCTCCCATGTGAGCTTGCGGCGATTGGCGATGATGCCAGCAGTGACGGTGGTGCCATTGTTGCCACCAAGTCCGACGAGCATGACACCGACCTTTCCGACATGGCTCTTGGTCTTGAAGTCGTAGTTGGTCTGCTTGGGCTTGGCGACATACTTCCCATTCACGCGCCGAACCTCGGTTGTGCGGTAATGGTACTTGCTGAGAATATCTTCATTGGAGTACTGGACATGGGGTGCTTCGACACTGAAGTCGTTCACATTGGCACGCTGTGTTGTTGCCGTTGGGTTGTTGGCGGAGAAGCCCTCCGAGTCATTGGCGTGAGGTGCCATGTTTGCACAACTATGCATCGGTCAGTAGTGTCCAGCGTAGCGAGGTGCAGGTGAAGGGAATAACGTAAGACTTCATAGAAGCAAGGTGGTGACATACGAAGAGGGTGTAGTGCTTTGAAGAAGTGACTGAGACCGACGAACTACTCGACAAAGCGGTTGCGCGGTTGTGAAGAAGTAGGAGTGAAGATAGGAGTGGAATGGAGGGAAGAGGAAGAAATGGAGGGAAGTGCGGGCTACTTATCCTCTGCATCGTGCACACCGCTTCCGGACCTTCCTCAACCGCGTGATTTATTGCATGCTTCTGAGCGTATCGACGAGAGCAAATTGCGACGATGTGCTTGAGCTAGGAGGAACTGTTGTTGCTGAGTTGCTGATATCCGTCCGAGATTAAGCTCCAGTGAGCTTTCCGGATCATTGGTTTGTCCGATAGTCTTGGCATGCCGAGTGAGAGGATCGCGTTTGTGTCTTCGATGGAGCCTTGGACACCAGAAAGGTGAAAACTAGTGATTGATATCTGCTCATGCAGCTTCCTGTACGCTTGCATGTGCCAAATACAGCCGCCGAGTGGATGAAGGGCGGATTGTGCAAGCTGGAGCAGAACCCATTCATGTTCTCAGAACGACATCCAGACTGGCTTCCCCTGACTGAGCAAAAGGCCAAATGCCTCTGGACTTACTAAGTCGATGGCTTTCATGGGGCAAATGCAGCAGCTGGATCGCAAGTCCTCGTCCTTTCGAACATAAAGTCTTCTGGGCAGTACTTGTGGTGTCGCAGACAGAGGACGTGGCTGATGGAGCATTCTTCTTCGCGACTGGAGTCAAAGAGTTTATTGGGCGACCGAGCTCCTAGCTCTCGGTGTATGTCGACAGTGGCATTGACAGGAGCGTGACTGCAGTATTCGTGGGCGCAACAGCTGACAGACTTGGCCGAAGAGATGTCCAATTGGTATGCAGCTGAAACTGGAACTGCACGTCGTGCTGCAGAACGAAAAGACGGTACAGGGCGAGCGGCAGGTCGGCAGTCGCAGAATCAGCCAAGCAGGGGCATGCTCGTATGTTCGTGTTGTGGCGCGCTGCCCAGGACGCTGGGAGAAAAGGGAAAAGTCAACCTGTCGCGCAGCGAGAACGCTCCTCGGCCCGCCAACGGGTCGTCGAGGGCTATTTCGGGCGGTTGCTTGGGACGCGTCGCTCCACACCATGTCAGAGCAGCAAGAAATGCAGGACGCGTCGACAGTGCAGCAGCGCATACTGGCGCATCGCCACGACGTCTTTTCCAGCAGTGGCGACCACTCCAGACGGTCTGTGGTGCCGGCCGACCAGGGTGTGGATGCGGAGTTGCCACCATTCAGTCGGCCAATACCGAGCACGGACGCTCACAGCCCAGTACGGCTTCTCATTTCGTTTATATGATACATGCAGCTGCCGGCCTGCCCTCTTGTCGCCTGCCTCCTCTACACGCCATTCGTGACACTCGTTCGTTCCATTCTTCTTTCGCGCTGTCTCTAACATCGACATCGACATTCTACATCTTCCACAACGAGAATTACCATTGGATCATCACCAACGACCCGTCGTAGCATACATCGATCAACATGCGTTACTCAGTATTGGCTCTGGCGCCATTTGTGGCTGCCGCATACGCCCAGGATACCAACAACGACGATCAGAACAACGATGTACGCTCCTTGACGATGCTGCGCTGTGGATGCAACATCTCTGACAAAGTGACCAGGCTCAGACCTCTTCAACTTCCATTTCGATCCCACCGTACTCAAACACCATGACCAACTTCCTCACGCAAACCAACTCGGATGGAGTAAGTTGCGCCGTCGCATGCTTTTGACCAGGTACAAAAGCTAACATCATCCCCTCAATAGGTTGTGACCGGCATGCCTACGCCGCAAGTTGGAGGCCAAGGTGTTGCTGAGACCAGCATTCCTCCAGTCGCCACAATTCCAGCCGGTCTTGCTCCGGGCTCTGTGTACACCTTGTTCTACGGAAACGCGACCTCTTTCACCGTCAGCGTTGCCTCATCAACTACCGTCGTCGTCGGTCCTGGAGGCTCTCAAGCAACGGGCGTGTCTGTCACCACAGGAAACAATGCCGCCACACCAAGCTCTGCGTCTGGCAACGAGAACGCAACAGAGACATCTGAGAACGGCTCGACCGAGACCTCGGATTCTGCGGCCAGTGGGAATCTCAAGGTTGCCTCGGGTGCCATGTTCGGCCTCGGCGCTCTCCTGGCCTTTGCTCTGTAAAGATTTTGCGTGGTGGTTAAGGATGAGGAGTTGGGAATAAGCATACGGTACTGGAGCTCGCCAGCTTTTCTTGTGTTTGGGTGGGAATTGTTCATGAACGACAGTAGGATGGTGATAGTTGTATACCCTTGTGCGGATATAGTAATGCACTTTCCGATGTTCAGATTTGACTTGGTCGCGTGCCACGGGTCGTGACTACTCCAAGACTTCTGGACTCTGTGGGCACAGATTGATGCAGGCTCGTTCGGGCTTATCGGCAGGCAACGCTTACGTCGGAATATGCTTGCCAGTCTCCAGATGTGGTACCGCGCGAACTGTGGTAGTCGTAATGTTCAGTCAGCCGCGAGTTGAGGTGTGGAAGACATTATTCGGATCGCTTCAGCTGGTCAAACAGCGAGGCAAGGCCCACTTCCACTTCCCCACGTCTCGATTTCACCGACCACATCGCATCCACATCCACGACCAAACCCAACACACGACCCTTCATTCGGCCTCGAAAGTTGCGAACACTGATCAACAACACAAAATGGACGAAAAAGACCTCGTCCAGTACCTGACTGATGATCCGCCTACCGTTTGCCCACTGGCAATCAAGCCCCACTTTGACGCCTTGTAGGAGACTACCAGAACTTGGGCTGCCGCTGACTTGAGCTGACTCAAAACTAGGTCACCACAGGAGAAGAAGTATGCTCACTATATCAGTCGAGCGGCCTTTTCAGGGACTCGTGTCAATTTGCGCCAGGTCTCAGACGAGTCAGAACCGTGAGTCGTTCGCAGTGCACGTTGGTAACAGTATGCTAACATTTTGCGTTCTAGCATCTACGTAAGCCTGTTCTGATGCAATGCTATGGGTCGTCGGCCATGCTGTTGTTGACTATGACTATCGACGTGGCCTCTGCTGCAGCTCATGGGAAAGAAGCTGACCATCTGGTTTTCGCCGTTGACAGGACTTGATCGTGGATCTTCATAAGCGTTCCAATGGGGACTGGAAAGCATTGCTGTCCGAAGCTGGCATTTCCGACGACCATTTGAAGCACTTCCTATCATTCTCTGCCCAGTTCTTAGGGAACACTGGAAAGTAGGTTGCCCGTGCTTCTGATCCGCACTTCAGCAGTAACTGATCTACCGCTTGCGAAATTTGTAGCTACAAATCCTTCGGCGACTCGAAGTTCATTCCACGTAAGTCTTTGTCAATTTGAGTTGACACGCTGCTACCAACTTTGGACAATACTGATTCGATCACTGCAACGCTAGGTATCCCAAAAGAGAAATTTGCCGCACTCGCGAAGACATCTGAAAACGCTTCACGTCTATTTCAGCAAGTCGAGGGCGTGCTCTACGACTCAAGCTCGGTGCCACAATTGCATCTAGGATATCCGGAACAAGGCCACATTTCGACATACTATCCCGACTCTCCAGGCATCAAGACTGCGGAGATCGCTGCGATCTCAGACTTCTTCAAGGAGAAACAGCTCATGCCTGAGAACACTCGACTTCGCAAGACTTCTGCCGGGGACTTTGAGTTGCTCGTTGCATCAGCAGTCACTGAGCCCGCACAACGTGATCTCAAGGAGACGGAGTGGACTGTCGATGGCAAGAAAGTCCGTCTTGTCTTCGGCGACCATGCTGTGGAGATGGGCAAGATCGCTCGTAATTTGGCAGAAGCCAAGAAGTATGCTCTTAATGGCGATGAGGACAAGATGCACGGAGAATACGTCAAAGCTTTCCACGACGGATCCATGCTTGCACACCTTGAGTCACAGCGGCACTGGATCAGAGACAAGGTAAGATCATTTGCTCCCTTGCGATCTCACAGGCTGACGTTCCGGCAGGGCCCCATCGTGGAGACCAACATCGGTTTCATTGAGACATACAGAGATCCGTAAGTTCAGAGCAGTTGCCATTTCCTCGTCATTGCTGGCTTGCAGATCACATCTCGAGACAGAAATACATTCTGACAACTGTCTATAGGCACGGCATCCGTGGAGAGTGGGAAGGCTTCGTGGCGATGGTCAACAAGGAGAGGACCGCTGCATTTGGCAGGCGTAAGTATATCGAAGTTTCAAGTTGCTAGCCCGAGCTGACTCTCTCTTGTAGTCGTTGAGTCAGCACCTGCGTATGTTTCTGCTCTCCGCAGTAAAGCGAATCCAGCTCATCTTCTCACAGACAAATCCCAAAACTCCCCTGGCCCGCGGCATTTGAGAAGTAAGTGGTCCTTCAGCTCTCCGTACTGATACCGAGTCCATTGTCGGACTCCGCTGACACAATTGATCAGGGATCGGTTCCTGAGCCCGGATTTCACCTCTCTCGAAGTCTTAACATTTGCGGGCTCTGGAATTCCAGCTGGTATAAACATACCCAATTACGATGTCGTCCGACAGACGGAGGGCTTCAAGAATGTCAGTTTGGGCAATGTGATTTCTGCCGCTGCGCCAAAGGAACCGACACCCTTCATTCGGAAAGAAGACCAGGAGCTGTGGGACAAGTACAAGGATGCAGCTTTCGAGGTCCAAGTTGGTCTGCACGAACTCCTTGGACACGGTGAGATCCATAACAAAGCCACTTCTTTCATTGAGGTATAAGCTAACTTAATCACGAATAGGCTGTGGCAAGCTTCTGCAGGAGACCGAGCCAGGCGTTTACAACTTCGACGTGAAGAACCCTCCACTCAATCCATGGACTGGGAAGCCCATCGCTACTTGGTAAGTATAGCTTAGGTTGCTGCGTCGATCGACCTTTCGTGGTTACTCCAGCTGCGGGCATCTTACTTTATACTGCCATGGACGCTCAAGCACACCCGGAGCTCCAGTGCATGGCCGGCGCATCGACCCCGCTGACCTTTACGTTTGCAGGTACAAACCAGGTGAGACTTGGGGTACAGTCTTCGGCGGCGAAGGTCCCAGCTACGAAGAGTGTCGAGCAGAGTCAGTTGCCATGTCTCTGTGTCCAGACTACAGCATCCTGTCAATCTTTGGCTTCGGAGATGGCAAAGAAGACATCAACAGTGTGGCAGGAGATGTGCTCTACATCTGTTACCTGCAAATGGCTCGTGCTGGAGTTGCTGCTCTGCAGTTCTGGGAGCCATCCACGCAGAAGCACGGCCAAGCACACATGAAGGCTCGATTCGCTCTGCTGAACGTCTTCCTTGAGGCTGGCAAGGAATTCTGCGAGCTGCGCTACACCAAGGACGATCTTTCGGATGTTGAGATCTATCTCGACAGGACCAAGATTGAAAGCCATGGCCGACCAGCCGTGAATCGATTTTTGCAGAAGCTCAACGTCTACAAGGCTACAGCAGACCAGAAAGAGGGTCTGGAGTTCTACAAGAAGTACACGACTGTGGACGAGTGGTTCGCGACTAAGTTGCGTCCAGAAGTCGTCCGTCAAGCCAAGCCGCGCAAGGTATTCGTCCAGGCCAACACCTTCCTTGAGGGTGACAATGTGGTCTTGAAGGAGTACGATGCCACACCAGAGGGTTTGATTCAGAGCTTCGCGGATCGCGATTACATTTGAGGCCGCAGATTGCGCGGCGGAAGAGCTTTAATTCGGAAGAGCTGCTTTCAGATAGCAGGCTAAAAAGCGTGGTCGTTCGCATGCCAATCTCCTCAGCGTTCCCAATAACAACGATGTAGTCTTAGACGCAATGAGGTGAACTCAGATCACGCATCGCATGATCGAGGCAGCTTCTATTATGCTCCAGACACCTACGAAGTCGCAGTCATCACATAAAGTCATCTTCGTCGAAACCGTCTTCGTTGCTCCTCATCTGATCCTCGGTATGCACGTCGTCATACATGTGCTCTTTCTGCCACTTGAGTTGCTTTCGCTCCTCTGCAAGGCGGGCTTCTTCTTTCTTCTGCACATAAAGTCAGCAATCCAAGAGCTCATGGCAATTGAAATGAGAGCACGGCATGGCTGCCTTACCTTTGCCTGCGCAGCTATCCTCTCCTTCTTTCTCTCTCCATTCTCACGATCTGCCTTCTCCTGCCGCAGATCGGGATATTTCTCCACCTTGGTCTTGTTCAAGCGGTTCACAATGGCATTCTCCCGCTTCTCCACATATACCCTCTTGACCAATTTGTTGTTATGGAACCCGACCTGGCCCGTAGCCATATTGCCGCTCTTTTTCAGATTGCTCCATGGCGTGTAGATGACAGTAATGTTATCCTTTTTGTTTCCCTCGATACTGTTGGCTTTGGTGAGCTGGGCGCAGTCGTTGAGTAGCTCCTGTGGAATGCGATCCCAGGTTTCGCCATCGCGCATTCGAAGGTAGACGTGAGCGGAACTCAGGTTGTCGACATGGAACCAGACATCTTCGTTCCAGCCGTGGGCGATGAGATCCTCGTCTCTACGACAGTCAGCCTGTGGTGTTCTTGTGCTCTCAGAAGATCGCTGCGTGTGGCTTACTCTCGACTTTGTCTTTGCCGACGTAGATGAAGGCCGGCGGGTCGACGATGTTGCTGGTGAAGTAGAAGACCATCTTGCACTCGGACTTGCTGCTGCTGGGCAATGTCGTCGTGCAGTCACTTGCAATTGCACGTTCTCATGGCCCACGCAAGCCGCGTCGGGCTTTGGGGCAGCCGCGCCAAGACCTGACTGATCCTCCAACATGACATTCAGCTCTGTCGACAACAACTTTCCCGCCTTCGCCATGGCAATGGGCTATTACTGGGCCTCAATCGCTCTTTGTGCTCTCGTCTTAATACTTGCGCTGGACATCATGGGCATCTTCTCGGGGAAGAACCACTTCGACGTGAACGGCCGGGTAGGCAAGCGCAACGTCTTCCGTCGTGTATGAATGCTGACTTGGCAGACGGTGGTCATCACAGGCGGCTCGCAAGGCATGGGAAGAGGCTTGGGCAAGCTTCTAGCTCAGAAAGGTGCCAACGTCGTCATCGTTGCAAGGACACAGAAGAAGCTTGATGAAGCCTTAGAGTACATATCGGTACGTTAAGCTCTCAGCATGTCGGCGTCTGCTCGCCCCTGATTCAGTGTCAGGCAGCCGCGAAAAATGGCGAACGTCAGCGTTTCCTCGCTATCAGCGCAGATGTGTCCAAGCCCGAAGAAAACCAACGCATCGTACAAGAAGTCACTGCCTGGAATAATGGCAATGCTCCGGATGTCGTTTGGGCAAATGCCGGCATGGCGCAACCCATGCTTCTCCTCGATGCTTCTGTCGAGCTCCTGAAGCAGCAAATGGATGTGAACTACTTCGCCGCAGCATATCTCGCCCAGTCAATTCTCAAAGAGTGGGTCAAACCAGCTGGCACCAAGGGCAACAGCGCGTCAAGTCAGAAGCCGAGACATTTCATCATCACTTCAAGTGTCGCTTGCTTCACTGGTCTCGCTGGCTATGCGCCCTATGCGCCGCCCAAGTCGGCCTCACGTTCGCTGGCTGACACGCTCCGCTCTGAGATGAATCTGTACAATGGTGCTCGGAAAGGAGACCCCGTCAATGGCCCGGCTGCTGAGATCAAGATTCACTGTGTATGCCCTGGGTCAATCACATCACCTGGATACGAGAATGAACAGAAGACCAAGCACCCAGCTACGAAGATCCTTGAAGAGGGAGACATGGTTCAGGACGAGGACCAAGTAGCTGCGGCTGCAGTGCGTGGTCTGGAGTCAGGAGGCTATCTCATCACGACTCAACTGCTTGCCCATGCGATGCGAGCGGGCACTCTCGGAGGCTCTCCGCGTAACAACTGGTTTGTGGACACAGTGTTCAGCTGGGTGGTAGCCGTAGCGTGGCTGTTCATTGGACCTGATATGGAGGGAAAAGTGTTCAATTATGGCAAGAAACATGGAATTGCGAGCTCGTAAGTAAACAGTAAGCTCTTGTGGGACAGTCAGGCTGGAGTCAGAGCCGTCTTCAATGACTTTACAATACCAGACCAAAGTAAGTCCGGAGAGACACGTCAAGAAGTAACAGAAGTCCAGGACTACGTGAAGCAGAAGTTGTTGCAACGGCGGTACACGTGGCCTGAGTTCCTGAAGTCGAGTGTCCGTGCTGTTTCAGCGGAAACTTCGCGAAACGCTCCGTGTACACACTCACAAAGCGACACTGCCGATTTTGGACGTGAGAGCAGAAGTGAAGTTCTGGAAACGCGTTTGGGTCTTGGCGCACCCTTGGTGACAATGAAGCGCGATATAAACGCAGCCATTGCGCGCCCTTACTAACCTCAACAATTTCAGAAACAACGACTCGCACATTCAGCATGCCTCGTCTCCGTCCTCCGGACTTTCCTCCGCCTCCTCCTGTCCACTGGGCTTATAACCTAGGGAGCATTAACGCAACATACGACAACTACGTACAACGTGGCTTCTCAGAACGCGAAATGGACCAGCGCCGGAGTGTCGACGGACATACACTGTGGTTCACCAACTGGTACCATTGGGTACATCACTATTTGGACCTGGGTGGCGAGAATGCAATGGAATGGTTTCTCTCACATTACGAGAGTGAGTGGCTCTGCCATTTCCGTGACCAAGCTACTCTCTTCAAACCCCCGCCGCCTCCGCGACCGTTTTCTTATCATTGTGATGATCACTCTCGACCGGAGAAGCGTCCTCCGCGCCCGTCCACGAGCCATCGAGCTGGCCATGGGCAGCAAGCGCACAGACGGTCGCCAATGGCTGCTGCACAAGCGCAGACTCAGCCTAGGACCGCTGGTACATCGTCATCACGACCCGATTCGAACGACTCGAGGGCTCGCAAATTTCCTAGGTCTGCAATTCCTCGCTCGAGTTCCAGTCGGTCGAAGCCAGTGCAAGCCACATCGCAAGCACCACCAAGCAAGGGGAATATTCGCGGTCACGTTCCGGCCCCATTTCATCGACCAGCTCCACGTCGCGCAGCAGTCCCGCCCCCGCCAACTATAAAGGCGCCAAGCAGACTTTTACAAGGCAGCAATGGTAGGCCCGTTGCTGCTCCGCATGCCACTGCGCCAGGACCAGCGGCGCGACAGCCGTCAAAACCACCTGGCCGCGTGCGGAGTGGCGCAAATGCAGGCCTCGACACTTACGCGCATGCTCCTCTGGAAGCATCCCTAGCGCGACCTACTCGTGCTCCAACGGCACCACAACCGCCAAAGGCGTATCCAGTGGCGGGCTATATCGACGCGAATAAGAGAGTTGGAGAAATTGCCGTTGAGCCGTCTCCCAGCGAGGCCACCGCGACGCTAATGTCTACTTCGATGACAGACCCTTCATACGACCAAGCAGTATTCCAGCAGGAAGTGAACGATCTGATCAACGGCATCGAAGAGCAGGTACGACGCGGCCGCGATCGCTCCAGATCCCCTCGTCGCGGACCTCAACACCTTTACCGCAATCGCGAGAGCAGTCGACACTCACCGTCACTGCCTCGCGGCTACCGCGGTGAGCCACTCACACCCTTGAACCAGCACAGAGGACCTACACAGGTTCCGCGTGGTTCTCTCCCACCAGACCAGCCACCTGCTCGGACAGAACGCCCGCAGCTTCCGCCTAGAGATCGATCCTCTGATCGGCATCTTTCCCGGGCGCCTTGCTGCGATGACTGCAATGAACGCACATGGAACAGTCGCACATGATCACAGTGTAGACACCACCAATTCCGGTGGAGTGGCTTCACGCCATCCTCGCCAACAAGAACGTGCCATGGACTGATGTGACCAGCGTTTTGATCACGGTAATGGCTAGTCCGATGACCAAGGCAACAACGCACAACATGATATCGGCCACTCTAACCTGACACAACTCGAATGCGCGTTGTGCGGCCACGGGTGATTGGCTCGACCAATAGTCAGTGACAGCCGCACCTAACTGCAATCGCGGTCGTTGGTCATTCCCATAGCAGCCAACGCTCGCTGCTCTGTATTGGGCCCCAATCATGCGCTGCGTGACTCAATACCCTACATACTCATCACGGGCTACTTCGCGCGGCGGCCTAGCCAGCTCTAGATGCCGCAGCATCTGTGGGATGAACAGTTCGATTCCCAGCCCGGTGAAGACGATCGCTGATGCTTTCCCAAGGACTCAGTCCTGATGTGGTCATGGTATTGTCAAACAGGTTCTTCATTCCCTGTTAAACAGTGATTGAGTCCTCTGTAATAGGCTTCCGTCGCTTTCGAATAGTGACTGAGCTTCTTCCGGGATGTGGTTCCACCGCTGTGCAAACCGGGAATGCGAGTCTTCCACGATGCTGTTGAAGACAAAATACAAAGCCTCGTATTACGAGTCTTTGTGCCGCAAGCATACTTACGAAAGTCTTTACAGAAGGAGCATGTTCCGCAGGTGGCTGGCATGGCCTCGAAAAGGAATAGACAGCAAGGAAGAGCCAGGTATGGAAGGAGACTGGCCACCAGGTGGTAAACGTCGATTCCAGGGGAACACATGCGGCAATAAGGTTCAGGTGTGGGAGGACGTTTGTTCCGCAGTTGGCGGACACATCTTCAGACGCGATGCTGGCAGCACGATATTACTGTACAATGTCCGCTTCGCTAATCCACATGAGGCGCTGTGGCAGCCGCTTCGGCGTCAGACTTAACAGAGACATTGAAGATATACTTGCAGCTCCACATGTCTGCGACTTCAGCTCAATGTGACGTGACAGTTCGGTGTCGTAGCAGATTGACGTGGTGAGTACATTAAGCGCGAGCAGCCAAAGGAAATCGTAGACAGGACAGTCACAATGCGTCTTGTCTCAATGGGACATGCTGCAACTCAGCTCTTTTGAGCATATTGGGATCAAGTGTTGAGAGCCCTGAACAAAAGTTCTGGAGCCTCGCTACCTCTTTGCGTGCGACCTCTTCCCGCCATTTAAGAACTGAGTTCTCATCGACGGACAGGCGAAGTGCGGAGCTGAAGAGGAAGAGCTGTGAACAAGTGTTGTGATCTATACACGACACTGAGTGTTCTTATACCGCTAGAGTACCCAGCGTTAGCACGGAATGCCTGCCGTGTTGGAACTCTACGATGCCCATCCACCTTTCAGTACTGCCTTACATGTTCCTAACCCATGTACACATCCGCCACCAGTGCCACCATACCAATTCGGCCTCCAGGTCAGTTCTCATTGAACACCCAGCAACTCTATTGGAAAGGGCCGCGATGAGCAGGTCGACTGCCACGCTGAGCTTGCGGAATACCAGCATTGATGCAGTAGCCCTTGAACTCATCGGGCAGACTGTTTTGGTCGTCAACTTGAATAACATTCGAAACGGTATCGCCCCACTGGTTCGAACCATTCTGAGGATCGGCCTGGACTGCAAGATTGGTGAAAGTGAGGTTTCCAGTCGTATAACCAGGTCTTTCGTTTCGATTCAGCCAAAAGCCGCCTGTCAAAAAAGTACTATCTTTGACAACGTAGTCACGAGAACCCTCATCGGTGCAAACGGCGGCTGTTGTTGGGATCTGGGTCAGCTACAAGTGTGTCTGAAATTGTAGAAAAGTGGAGGGAACTGCACTTACCGAATCCCACACTTTGAGCGACACAGTTGTTCCTCACGCTCGTTGCGGGGCTCTTTGCCAAGGTGTAGAATGCTCCCAGATCTGTCATTACCGTTCCAAATCGCTGGATGAGGTTGTTGGAAATGAGCCCGTCTTTCAGCGTAGTAGGCGTGTCATATCTGGGCTGGTATTGGTAGAGACCCCGTTTCTCGTATTCATCGCTACCACCCTGGTCATTGGCTCCCCATCCATAACCGTAGCAAATACCAGAGTAAGGAACGTCGTAGATATCGTTGTAGGTGATTTTAGCTCCTGTGAGATACGTGACGAATATCGGCACGCAGGACTGGAAAGTGTAAGCCACGTCGGTGAAAATGTTCTCCGTGATTGTGATGTCTTGTACGGTCATCCTTGGGTCGCTGGGATGGTGGGCATCGGCTTGAATACCACCAACCGTGATGGCGTTGGCGCCGGTTTGTTTGAAGAGCATGCCAGTAATGTCAACATTTGATGCTCCGAGACCGACTTGTGAGGCATGAGCATTCGCATCATTGCCGATACCGAAACCGCCCATGATGGCAGTGAGACTGCCGCCACGGAATGAGACATCTTTCACTGCGCTGGCCTGGATAGAGCCTGGGACTTGGTACCAGAATGGTCTTGAGGATTCGAAGACGTCGTAGACCTTGTTTCTGCCAATGTATCCACCAGTCTGTTGGTCCACATAGCCAAGATTGGTAGAGGGTTGGTCTGCGTGTACATTGTTAGCTGGTTGGAAAGAAGAAGAAGTATTCAGAGGAATGACATACTCCACGTTGTGTGCATGTAATTGAAACCCTGGAACGTGAGGTCATGGACAGGAGCATCGTACGTGCCAGCAAGGGCCAAGAGATACTCCAGCCGAGGTGGGACCACATTCTGGTTCGACATATCGGCAGCATCAGGCTTGTAATAGACGACCGACGCGTCCTCATCCAAGAAGTATTCATTCGTCTCGTCCAGAAGATCTAGCACATTGGCAAGCCAGAGTGCACCCTCGTGGGCAGGTACGGTGAACGTGTCAAAGCCGATAATGTTGTTTTTGAACGCAGGATTAGCCATGATGAGGTCGTTGCCATTGACGGACTCGATTGGTATGTAGCGATCAGTGAAAGAAGCTCTACTGCGAAGCTCGCCTTTTTCGATGCCCGGGAGTCTGGCCAAGTATTGTCGATCAGGATTCGCGATTGCGAATCCGTTCGAGGTGAGCCTCAAATCAGATCGGGCAAGTTGTTGACGTGCTCGCGTTGCATGCTTCTGATTCACGTACAAATGGCGAGACCGGGACCCTTGTGGTACGCTGGCCTTCCAAATGTTCTTGCCAGCGTCATGAACAGACCAGGCTGTGACTGCAGTTCTGCGAGTGATTTGTTAGTCATAGTTCCCATGTTGTTGCACTTTCGTGTACATACCCGCCAGAAATGTTCACTCCATCGCCCGTGGCGCGCCAGACTACGCGGCGACCATTGGATCCAGAATCAGCAGCCTCGAAGGTCAGAGGTTTGTCGAGATAATAAGTTCCAGGCAGAACGTTCACGAACAAGTCGGACTGCAGGCTTGAATTGACTCGTCTGACAGATTGCCGGGCGGCATCTAGCGTTGCGAATGGTGATGCTTCACTCCCGTCGTTGGCATCGTTCCCATTTGGCGAGACCCAGAAGTCGGCGGCGCTCAGCTTGGAGAACGCACAAGTCAACAGCAACGTCGAGAGCGTACCGGAGGTCCACATGGCTGGCGGATAGGACTGTTGAAGTTGCCAATACTGGTATCAATGATATTTGTGCCACAGTAGGTCTCCCCATGGGGTACTTAAATATCTCTCTTGACCATGCCAGAGCCACGTGCTGACTTCTTGACTGCGGAGTAATATTGCATTGGCGTGCAGTTCGATATGGGGTTGCACAATGCCGGCACTCGTGCTTGGGAGCTCGGCTAGAGGCATAGCTGATGCATTCATCAGATCCAGTAGGCTAATTTTTCATTCAAGTTGAAGATCTGCATCGTGTTGGAGTCAACGCCCAATTCGTATCGCAGTCAGTCTAAGTCACTACTAGGTCGGTAGAAAAATACCCAGTTGGCGGAAGCTCCTCTTAACAATACGTCCTTCGAAAGACCCAGTCTTGGAAGGCCTTCATCTGACGCCAAGAGCAGCATGGAGCGTTGATTCTTGCGGTTGATCTCCAATTATCCGATATAGTAAGTCTTAGAAGTAGTCTGCTGACAACGCTTTCGCGGAAAGTAAGCGAATGTCGAACCTTGAATCGACATTGGAAATGTTGCAGCTACAAGTTCAAAGTTCACGCCGTTGTGCGGAAATCGTGTAACCAATGAGACAGCATGCTTGTAATGGTGTTGATCGACAGCATGCATTAGTCAATCAAGAATACCAGTAGTAGGCTGCTTTCCACATAGAAATCGTGGCGTTTACAGTCGTGGGAAACCCGAACGTTCGAGTGGAGAATCTCGTGTCGTGGAGGTCTATCGAGTAGACTTGTGGATAATAACTTTCGTCCAGCTGGAAAGGTCCTTCCAAGCGACCTCTGCGGGGCCCCAGACTCCTGAGTTAGTCTACCACAATGATAGATGGCAGGATGCGCACAACACGGGGAATTAGGCTATCATTAGCGGGTTGTGATTGGACGAGCCGCATGCTCAATCACCATAGATGCCCTTCACCACCACAAAGGGCAAGCATTTATCATTGGCTCAAGATCTCCAGTCCATGACGAGAATGCACACCGCGGTCTGCTTCAGCTAGAACACGTGTAGCTCTTTCGAAGCTCATTCCGAGGCCGACATGGGAAAAAGCATCATCTCTGACTACGCCAATGGCTACAATTACTTCTGTGGTATGTTTGTCGATAAGCCGTGCCCGACGTTGATGCTGACTGAGATGCTCTCTAGCCATATTTGTGGGAATTGGCTCCCTTCTATGGGGCTATGATTCAGGTAAATTGCCAGCTTCTGCTGTGGGGAGATGATTGTCTAATCGGGTGTGAACAGGAATCTTTGGCACGGCTCAAGCACAGGAGTACTTTGAGACCTTCTTTCACCCTTCAGCTGCTCTGCTTGGTGCCATCATCTCTACAGTGAGTTCCGATACTCTCGGGTCAGTTTGTGAAGCTCGATGCACTGACGTTTCGCTTTACGACAGTACACAGCTGGCGGAGCCATAGGTTGTCTGCTTTCATGGCCAATTGGCAATTGGACTGGCCGGAAAGGCACACTGCAAATTGGTGCCATTGTGGCGATTATTGGATGCTCGCTCCAGACGGGCGCTCAGGAGGTCGGCATGCTCATCGCCGGACGTCTGATTGCCGGTCTCGCCATCGGGATCGTTTGCTTCGCCATCCCACAATATCAATCGGAGCTTGCGCCACCAGAGCATCGGTAAGTGGGCGAGCAGTCTTGCACTGGAAGCAATTGTCGCCATGAGCTAACATTTCCGTAAAATCCAGAGGAAGTATTGTTGGCTTGCATGCGCAGTTCATCGGGACTGGCTATGCGGTATCGAACTGGATAGGTTTCGCAGTCTATTACGCCGAGGGCGAGTTCACGGTAAGCCTGGTGAGGCATGCGTAGGCGGAGGCCGTGACCTAATTCGTCCTAGTATCGTTTCCCAGTCGGCCTTCAAGTCCTATGGGCAGTCGTACTCCTGGGTGGAACGTTCTTCCTTCCCGAGTCGCCGCGATATTTGCTCCAAAAGGGTTGCCACGAGGAAGCTTTCACAGTACTCAAGAAAATGCGCCGACCCGGCAACGAGGAAATGGTCAAGAGGGAGTTCGTCCAGATGCGCGAGCAAATTACGTGGGAGCAGGAGAATGAGGTCTCGTCCCTCATGGGCATATTCCGCAAAGCATCCTATCGCAGGCGCCTCTTATTGGGGAGTGGGATCCAGATTGGCCAGCAAATCTGCGTATCTCGGCGATCAACTACTACGAAACCATCATGTACAAGTCGCTCGGGATCCAAGGCGCGACGGTGCTGGCGTTGGCTGGTGTATGGGGCATCATCGGCCCTCTGTCGAACTTGTTCTGCCTCGCATTCATCATCGATCGCGTAAAGCGCAGGACAATGCTCATATGGGGCTCGGTGGGCTTGGCCGTGGACATTGCGATCGTGATGGCTTTCGTGGCAGTGTTTGGTGGCGGGCCTAACAAGATCGGAAACGCGTTCGGGATCTTCTTCCTCCTTCTGTTCGGCATCATATTCTCCATCAGCTGGAATTCTGGAGCACCGGTATACTGCACTGAGATTTTCCCGACCCAGATCCGGACAGCAGGAGGTGCAGTCTCGACTTTCTGGTCCTTCATCATCCAGATCATCCTCGCTCAGGCTTCACCTACTGGACTCGCCAACGTCGGATGGAGATATTACATATTTTTCATTGTCATGAACGTGGTGACGGCCATTGCAGTGTGGTTCTGGGTGCCGGAGACGTCCGGAAAGAGTCTGGAGGAAATCAATGAGCTCTTCGGCGACACCCTGATGACGGATCATTTGAACGCTGCGCAGACGCAAGAGAAAGGACAGGAAGCGGAGGTTCGAGTGGAGATGGTCAATAAGAGCTGATTGGGGCGTGCGACGTCCCGAGTCAGACGCGTGCGTCGCTCGTTCCACTCGCAGTAGTTGTGGTAGTTGTAGTGAGGTAGTGACGGTGGAGGGTTTGCCTCAGGTGTAATTCAGTGCCTCTGCTAGATTATAAGCCCTCACCTCACCTGACCTCACTTGCAGGCCCAGAACTTTCAGACGCGGTAGCTATATGTACCGGAAGTTGCGGAAGACGAACTGCATTGCGAAGGTGATGTGATATGTACTGTACCCTACTTGCAGCCTACGATGAGGAGAACTTCAAGACACGTGCGCACGGAACAGCGGGCACTTCCACGCGGACGCTCCCGCTCCCGCTATCCACGTCGAGACGTGCTTCGAAGTCGGCGGGATACAGCAGCGTGGCCACGCGCAGATGGCGGAGCGGCGGGGGCAGTTGAAAGCGCGTGTTCGTCGATCCTCCTCTGCGCCAGATGGCCACCACCGCACTGCCGTTCGCCAGACTAAGCCCCAGCGCCAGCCATTCGTCGTGCCACCGCGGCAGTCCCAAGGGCCAGAAGGGCCGCGACGTGCACAAGTGCGCGCGAATGTGCTCGCGGTAGACGCGCAGGCCCTCATCGACCAGTGCGGACTGCCGCGCGCTGAGCAGGTCCAGCCGGCCGCTCAGGTGCACGCGCCCGAGCAAGGCGTTGACGACGGTGAAGGCGTTGGT